ACAGAGGCTCAATTGTCCAACCTCTCCTCAGGAATCCACAGGCACCACTGGAGGAAAGGATATTCTACTTCTTCAGGTACTAAAAATGATGTTTGGCTGACTCTGCACACAAATGTGCAATACTGAACTTGATCCTGTGTGCAACCACCAGTGATATGAGGGGAGGAAATCCAGAAGTACCACAAAAATTATACTGTTTAATATCATACACTGATTTCAGAGATCCAGAGCTACAACAGCTAAATCCCCAGGAAGCTCCACAGTGACAGGGACAGCTGACTCTCAGATGGGATGAGCCGGCACACACCTGGGTGTGGTTCTGTTGTCTCTGGTGGGCTGGGCTCTGTCCACTGTCAATGTCACAATTCCAGGAACAGCCTGGCAACGGGAAGCACTAACCACACTCCTAGCAAAGGACAGTCCCTTTACAGCCTGAGTGTGAACCACCAGCTAATCCACTTACACCATAAAGTGGTCACACATCCCAGGGCACTCACAGGGACTAACCCAGTTTTCCAGGGCTTCAGGCAACCAGCCCTGAATTGGAGAAGAGATGCTGGGCTGCATTTCAGATCAAAGGACCAACACACCTGCTTCTCACTGTCATGTGCTCCTCCTTCCCTCAGACACAGAGCAGTTGCCACCCCTCCTCTTGCTTCAGTTTGTCTGCTTTTGCTGCCAGAGGTCTGGATATTCCCTCCAGGCCATCCCACCTCGTACCAAACACAGGATGGACACAAACCAGCCCCCCTGGCTGCTCCGGTGGGTTGCTGCAGGCAATCCTCATATCACAGCTCTTTATTTGGAATAAAGCCCTTTATTGTCCAGGTATGTCACTAAACCAACACAGAGCTTTCTCAGGAGCCAAAGGGCGAAGTAGGGGGACACAGTTTGTCACAGGCAGTTACCAGGTGGCTGAGCTGGGGTGTCAGCTGAGGCTCCATGGCTCATTCCCTGTGTCTGGATGCAGTTCTTCTGGCTGCCCCTTCTCCCACACCTTGCCTCTGGCTCGCTTGATCCCAGAGGAGTCAGATCAGGGACTGCTGCATGTTGTCCGTTCACACTGCTCAGAACAACTGTCCAGTTCCAGCTAAGATCCACTGAAAAGCTGCTCATTTACCTAAGACTTTTAGAATAACATTTACCTCATTTACCATAAGACTTTTAGAATAACTCCTTAGGGTTGTCTCACCAGAAATCTCATATTTCAGACAGGAAAATACCTGAATTTTAAGCAGACAACCTTCTTTTCCTAATAATTCATCCTAGAAGGATAGACAAAACCCTGCAGCAATAGGGAACACGCAGTGGATCTTTCAGTGACACCCAGTCTCTCCACAGGCAAGAGACAAGAGGAAAGATAAAATTCAAGAGAGGAGAACAGTAAAGTTCACTCTTCTTTACTTCTCTGGCTCTGAAGCCTTTCTATGCACTTGCTAAATCCACAATTATTTATTTGTGCACATCTGTCTTTCGCTGCCATCTCCAAGCCTAAAAGAAAAAGACCTTCAAAATATTTTGGCATCTCCTATTTCTGAAGGGCTCTGTCCTCCAGACAGCACTGCTGCAGCCAAACAATTCCTACCTTGTCCTAGCCCAGCAAACGTAAACCCAGACTATTTGTACAGGAAGTCGTGGACTCTGCCACAAAACTGCCCAAATCTGCAGCTCAGCTGCTGCAGGAAAACATGGAAATGGTGTTGCAAACTATGGGGGAGAGGAAGACTACTTCCAGGGGAAACAATGGCTGGAAAATGTCAGTTTCTGACAAGAAACAGCCAAAAGCAAACCAGAAGGAGGGAGGTGACAATAAAATTGGGTCCTCTGTGCCAGGGGACCTCCTGCACACACCGTGAGTAACAGTGACTTGGAACTGAGGGCACGCAGCAAAGGCCTCTGAGAGCACATCCCAAACTTCCACAGGAAGAGAGCCTGAGACCCCTCCCCACAAACCCCAAGAACCTGTGCAAATCTCGGGCTGGGAACTGCTGGTACAGAACTGCTGGAGGCAAAAGCGAGCTCAGCAGCAACACTGAGTTCCAGGACTAATTAGATCACTGTGTCAGGTAAGAGAAAAGATCAGCAGGTTGAGGAAGGGTGAAACTTTCATTCCTAGTGCTCAGAGTTAAAGAAATAAACAGGGAGAGGGAAGAGTATTCCTGTGCAATAATCCTGTGCCAGCACCCTCCAAGCCAGAACCAAGGACAAGCAGTCACTGGGAGGAATGATCCACACATCCTGCACAGCGCTGGCTGTGAGGCAGGGAAAAGGCCTTCCAAAAACACCTCTGCAAAGCTGGAGCAAATCAGCACGAGCAAACTCAGATGCCTGGTGCTCCTCCTTCTCTTGAAGAAAACTCCACCTGAAACCAGCTGAGCGATTCGGGTCAGTGGTGTCACAACCCAGGCTCCTTCCACCTGGAAACTGGAAATGGATTCCTGCTCACGCTTATCACGGGGATCAGGAACGGCAGCGTGTGCTGAGACACAGAGCTGTGGGGGCTGCTGTGGCCTGTGGGCTCAGATAACAGACACAAGAGCTTCCTGGAGAAATGTGCATCTCCAGACGCCCCTAGTGATATGCCAAAATGGAGATAAACTGTATCCCTCCAGCAGAACCCTAAATAAGTGTCTTACAGATTGTGCCTAAGTTAAAAGCTCAGATTTTGTTACCCCTGTGGCAAAGTGTGAGCCTGACAGACCCAGAGCACCTGCAGGAGGTACAGCTGCCTCCCTCCACCAGCACACAGCCCCCCTGTTCCAGCCACAGCCTGCATGTGCTTATCTAGATCACTGCAACCAGCAGTAATAACAGGTGTGGTCCAGTTATCCAGATCTGGGAGAAAATAGATCACCCTAAGGCTCTCTTGGATTTTAAAATAATCCCATTTCATTTCAGGCACTCACAGGCTCTCTGAAGCACAGGAGATTGCATCTCCCAAAAACACCTGCAACACTTGAGCTGCTGTCTTTGCACATCTCCTGCATTTGGTTCATGTTCTTACAATTCAGCCAATTTTGTTCTGTGACAGATGTCTTGTTATTCCTGTTACACATAGTGTGAACTGGAAACTTAAACTGGCCTACACGTCCGGCAGCACACGGATTTTGGGTTGGCTGACCTGCAGTGAGCAATTTGCAGGAATCACGAGGCCAAATTCAGCCTTTCAGCGGTGACTTCTTCAGGATTGCACAAGCCCACCCACGGACCGTGCCAGCAGTCTCAGCAGTGCAGCCAAATCTGCGAGCAGGGGCCAGCAAGGGCAGGCAGCAGCTCCTGCTCCAGTGACCACGCAACAGGAGCTGCGCCCTGCAGCTCCAGCTGCCCCAGAGCTGCAGCTCCCACCCAGACCAGCACACAAGGGGTGTGCACAGCAGTGTTGTGTCAGTGCCCTTATTCTTCTCCCTCTCCCTCCAAGGAGGACTTTTTATGTCAGAGAAACACAAATGGGGAAAAGGGCCTGGAAAGAGTGAAATATCATCTCAGGGTGAAACACCATCTCAAGGTGACACTCAGGGCACTGCTAAACCTGGAGGGACTGAAGTGTTTTTCTGGGCTCACTTATAATTCCAAAAGTGTCCCAGGGAGCAGATCCCAGACCCCATCTTAGAGAAAACATCGAGGTGAAGACTCAACATCCCTGCAGTGTCCACAGAGACAAGTGTAAGACAAGATTCCCAGCTCCTGCTACTGCTGTCCCAAACTCCAGCTCATTCTGGTTCTTGCTAAGGAATTTCCCCATGGAAAGGGGACTCAGGCCTTGGCAGGGGCTGCCCAGGAAGGTTTGGAGTCCCCAGCCCTGGAGGTGTCCAAGGAACACCTCAGTGCTGGGGACGAGGTGGGGATTGGGCACAGGTTGCACTCCATGGTCTGGGAGAGATCTTCCAACCTGGACAATTCTGTGATTCGGTCATTTTCTGGACTCAAAAAAGAAAGCAGATTGTGCCCAACTTTATAGATAAATGCTGAGAGCTGCAGAACGAGGCACAACCTCCAGCTGCCAGGTGATGCCTCCCCCCTGCCTGAGGCAGCTGTACCCTCTCCACAGCACACAGGCTTCAGCCACATGGGCCTGCAGGGAAACCAGAGCTGAACTCAGAGCAGCAGAGCCAACAAGCTGGAACAAGTGCATTCCAGTGAAGTGTCTTCTCTGGAGCTGGTGCAACCCAACCTTTGTACATTGCCCTGCAAACGCCACAAAGTCTTTGCTGTTATTTTAAGCTGGGATAAACCCCTTAGAGATTTTCATAGAGCCACAGAATCACAGGATATCCTGAGCTGGAAAGGACCCACAGGGATCACCAAGTTCATCTCCTGGGCCTGCAAAAACACCCCAACGACCCCACCCTGGGCATCCCTGGCAGCACTGTCCAAACTCTCCTGGAGCTCTGGCAGCCTCAGGGCTCTGCCCATGCCCTGGGGAGCCTGGGCAGTGCCAGCACCCTCTGGGGGAAGAACATTTCCTAATATCCAACCTAAATTTCCCCTAACACAACTTCCTGCCATTCCCTTGGGCATTTCTATTTTGTTACTATCTATTCCCACTCCATTTCCAGCTCTCAGCAGTTAGGACACCACTCTCAACCTTCTCAAAACCAGAAGACAAACGCAGTGAGTCCTGAAGGGTTTTTTAGTCCGCACAGCGAAGTGAAGCGGAGGTTCGGCAGCAGCGGCGTTGTTGCAAAGCCCTGGTGGACGATCCCCCGGGGCAGGCAGCGGAGCGGTGGCTGCGGTACCCTGTCACCTCCTCCTCTCCTCTGGGGTGCCCTGCAGCCTCCACATCCCACTGCTGCAGCGCCCCGACCCCGCCCGGCCCCACACGGCCGCGGCCTCTCCCGCTCCCTCAGCCCGCGGCCGGGCCTCACCTCCTCCAGGAACCGCGTCACGTCGTACACGCGCCCGTGGATCACCAGCCAGGCCTCGCGGCTGGAGTTCCGCTTCGCCACCTCCTCCAGGGTGAACACGGGCCCGGTCCCCGCCGCCGCCGCCGCCGCGGCCTCTCCGCGCCGCCCGCCCTCCATGCTGCCCGCCGCGCCTCCGCGGAACGCGCAGCTTGGCTCGTGCCGGCCGCCGTACCGATGACAACGCTCCGCGCGGTCCCCATTGCGTTCGGAGACCAATGGGGAACAAACTAGAGGTGGGCGCTGCCGGCGCAGCCAATGGGAGGGCGCGGCGGCGGGCGTGGGCCAATGGGAAGCGGCCGGGACGGAAGGCGGGAAACGGCGCGCGAGCGTCGCCTCTGAGGCGGCACCGGGATCGGCGCCCTCAGCCCTCAGATCGGGCCGTGAGTCCTGGGCTCTCAATCCCTGATCCCCCTTAGCCCCGGGCCGTCAGTCCCGGGCTCTCAATCCCTGATCCCCCTCAGCCCCGGGCCGTCAGTCCCGGGCTCTCAGTCCCTGGTCCCCCTTAGCCCCGGGCCATCAGTCCCGGGCTCTCAGTCCCTGATCCCCCTCAGCCCCTGCTCCTCCTCAGCCCCTGCTCCCTTCACCCCCATTCCCCAGTACTGGCTCCGAGCCGCCCTGTTACCCCTGTGCCACCAGAGAGCACAGTGCCCGTCAGCAGCCTGCCCTCAGCTTTTCCACCGTCCCTCGCAGTTCCTCCTGCATGTATGTAAGACAGCAGCGATCCCACAGCCCCTGGGACGGAGCAGTGGCCATGCAGCATATCCCCAGTGCTGACTTCCCCCAGGCTGCACAGCAAAACTCACCCTCGGGCCTGAGGGGAAGCGCTGGGTAATTCTCCCTCTGGCCGCACTGAGCAGTTCAGGGTCAGAGGCCGTTCAGAAGCTCAGGGATCCAAGTTCCCTTTAGGAACTGGCATTTGTGGCATGACTTCCTTGCGCTTGCAGCACAGGTACAGGGCTGGGCAGTGCGTGTTTGTTTTACAGGTGCTGAGGAGCAGAAGCGCCGTGCTGTCAGTGCTAGCCCGTGACCAGCACTGGCTGAAGGCTGAAGGTGTGTGCAGGGAGGACAGCGGGCTCACAGCTGGGCAGGTCACAAACCCTCTGCAGCCTAAGGGGAGCTCAAGTGCAGTTCTCTGTTTGGACAGGTCCATACACTCACCTACCCACACACACTGGGATGTAAAAGGCTCTGAAACCTCTCCACAGCCACCTAGTCAATAGTAAATATTAAATACTGAGCTGCTGCTCCTTTTGGTCCTTTCTGTCTATCTTTTCCCAGTCATCAGGGCTATTTCCCTGGCTCTGTGTGTAACCCAGGATCCTCTGACACGGAATGTTTCCAGCTCCTTGTTGTGACCAGGCAGCCCAGCTGTTGGCACCTTTCCAAACCGATGTCTTTCCTTCTAGATCCTTCCCTTTCCTTCTAGATCCAGCCCAGTTCCAACGGGACAAGTTGCCTTTGCTCAGATTTGCTCTACTTGATGGGTTTCTTAGGTGCCTTTGTGTTCCCTTCTCTCCATCCCTCATGCCTGAGGGTTTCTCTGTGGATTTCAAAGAGATCTCATGACCCTCCTCCACATTTCCCTTGTCCCACTGCTCCCTGGTTTTCTGTGGCTCTCCGCTGCCTTTCTGTGGCCAGAATGGTCTTGGAAGGGACCTTGGAGCTCCCCCAGCGCCACCCCAGCCATGGCACGGACACTTTGCACCGTCCCAGGCTGCTCCCAGCCCTGTCCAGCCTGGCCTCGGGCCGTGCCAGGGACGCAGGGACAGCCCCAGCTGCTCTGGGAGCTGTGTCCTGTCTGCTGCTCCAGCACAGCGAGAGCAGGGCCTGGTGACCAGGGGCCCTGGTGCTTTTCCTGCTCTGTTTCCTGCTCTAACTCCTCCAGAAGGATGTGACAGGCACGAGACCACGGCAACCTGCAGATCCTGTTCCCTGGAATATTTTCTTTCATCTGTAATCACTTCATCAAAAGCCGTAAATCAGTGAGGGGAGGCTCCAACTGCACAAGCATGGCTGCAATTTGTGCCTTCCTGCCCAGTGTTTTGTTTGGCACGTGGGACTCCAAAGCTTTTCCTGAAACGTTGATGGTGACACCACAGGAGGACTCAGTGAAACTGGATAGTGAGGCCACTGGCATTCCTGGTCCTGCTTCCATCATCCCTGCCTCCTCTTTGTTCATTGGAGACGATTCAGGGAGCAAAGCAGCGGGTCCATTTTTGTATTTATCTGGAGTTCACCGTTCCAAGCTTGTTTTCCAGTCCTGGGTGCTGAACATCCCTGTCCTGATCTCCTGAACATCCAAAGGGGGACACTTTCACCAGAGGGCACTGGAGGAGGAGATGGCAGCCAGAGGGACACGCACAGGAGGCAGAAAAAGGAGGCCAGGGGAGTTTTCCCAAGTGAAACCTGGCTTGGAGAAGGCAGGTGGCTCTCGAGTGGCTTTGTCCTGGTGTCTCAGAGAGGAATCTCGCTTTGCTTCCCTTGGGAAAGGACTCCAGGACTCTCTTTCCTGACCTGTGTGCAAAAATGAATGAAATCACTCAAAACCCTAAAACTCGTGCAGGGCCAAGGGGATCTGCTGAAGTGGCTGGCACATCTTCTCGGAGCCATGTGGATCCTGGGGCCAAAGTTACTGAGCTCCCTGAAATCCATGGAATTTTCTGGCCAGGAGAGCAAAGGCAGAGTCTGAAGGGCTGTGAGTGGGGCTGGTCGGCCCCTGCCTGGATGGAAGGGACAGAGCTGAAATCCTGGGGTCCCACCCTGGCACCTCCTCCTGCTTCTTGTGACAGAAAGAGCAAAACCGCTTTGTCCATGAATGTTCCACGTGGAACAGGGCTTGACCCAGAGCAGGGTCAGCTCCCCTCAGCCCAGGAAGCAGCTGTTGGGATTGCATCCTTCACGGCATTCCAACCGTGTCCCACTCCCACCCTGCTCCCCAGGGCAGCCCCCGCCCCAGGCGACCCTTCTGTCTCACACTGATTACTTTTATCTCCCTTTGTTTGCCAATAAAAATCCCTCCCAGTTTTTCTGTTTTCCATCTGACACACGGATTTTTCCCATTTGTGTTTCCTCCTCTGCTGGCCTGGGGCAGAGGGAAGGGAGGATCCCAGATCACCTCATGCCAGAGGAATTTTCACGTGCTTTTCCATCTCAGGTGAGAGAGCCTCCGGGACAGAGTTAGAAATGTCCCCTAGGCCGAGGCAGGACACCCCGAGAGGCACAGAACCACCCCAGGATCTGCTCCCAGTGCCTCCGCTCCAGGCACCAGTTCTGCTTGGGAACTGGCCAGATCCCTGGGAAACCAGGACTTGTAATTCATTACCGCAGGTGTGAGCGACCGTGGGACAACCTCTGCCCCAAAACCCTGCCCAGGTTTGCTGCTCCGGGTGAGGGGGACCGGCAGGCGGCTGGAGCCCAGAGCACGGGAGAGCGGAGGCTGCTCAGAACACCGGAAAAAAGGCAAACACCCGTGCCCGTACCGGCAGGGTGGCACTGCCAGCTTCGGCTGGCGGAGTTTAACAGCCCAGCCCGCTCAGGCGGTCCCAGCACGGACAGGCGGGTCCCTGGGAGGGGCAGCGACCCCGGGCCCGCGGGGACCGGCTGAGCCTCCGCTCCGCCAGAGGGAAACGGCCCTCACCGGCGGGGCTGGCGCGGTGCGCGCCGGGAGCTGTAGGCGCGGCGGGGCTGGCGCGGTGCACGCCGGGAGCTGTAGGCGCGGCGGAGTTCGCGCGGTGCGCGCCGGGAGCTGTAGGCGCGGCGGAGTTCGCGCGGTGCACGCCGGGAGATGTAGGCGAGGAGCCGCTAGGTAAGGCCGCGCCCGAGGGCTCCGCGGCGCCGCGCTGGTGTCGTCACTTCCGGCGCGCAGCGGCCTGGCGGGATGGCGGCGCGGCGGCGGGAGCGGAACCGGGAGCGGGACCCCGAGCCGGAGCCCGACGGGGCCGGGATGGCGGCGCTCCCCGAGAAGATGGTGAACGGCTGGGTGCTGCAGTTCTACTTCCACCGGGCCATAGAGGCCTATCGCTCCGGGCGCAACCGCGATTTCCGCCAGTTCCGCGACATCATGCAGGGTGCGCGGGGCCGGGAGCGGCGGGGCCGGGCCGGGCAGTTCTGCTCGGGCTGCACCCCTGACCCGCCGTTTGTCCCGCAGCGCTGCTCGTGCGGCCCCTGGACCGGGAGCCGGACGTGACCCAGATGCTCCGCATCATGCAGCTGCTGTCGCGGGTGGAGGAGGGCGAGAACCTCGGTAGGTGCTGCGAGCCCTGCAGAGCCCCGGGGCTGCTGGCAGCGCGCTCCTCCTCCCCCCGGGCTGTGTCCGTGTCCCCGCAGCTCCCGGGGCTCGGTCCCTGCTTGGAGCAGGGCTCTGGGTCAGGCTCGGGGTCTCTTCCTCTCTGTCTCGCTGTGGGGCCAAGAGCAGCGTCCGGGGCTGGCAAACCCACCAGCCTGGTGACTCCTGCTGAGCCTCGGGGCTGCCAAAATGCTGCCCCGGGTCAGGGCTGGGATGTTCTCAGGTGCTGCCCCGGGGTTCCCGTGGCTTTGGGGCAGGAACTCGGACACGGGGCAGCGGCTCAGCCCGGGGGCTGCGGGGGCTGTGGCACACCTGTGCAGGTGCTGCCTGCCCCCTGTGCAGGTGAATAAGCAGCTCTCTGCAGGGAGGCACCGTGACCCCCCCCAAAGGTGTGGATGTCAATTCTTGCAGATTGCACCTTCGACAAGGAGTTGGAGCTGACCCCGCTGGAGTCGGCCATGCTGGTCCTGGACTTCATCCGTGAGGAGTTCTCTGTGGCAGACAGGACCATGGAGACCGTGCAGAAAATGGTGAAGGAAGCTGTAAGATCTCCTTCTCTCGCAGTAAATACGTGGAACAGCTTTTGCCTCATGTGGGTGGTGCTGGGAGCTGCCTCACGTGTGGGATTCCCTCCTTGTCTGCAAACTCCTGCCTGCAGTGCTGGGGCAGTTCTGCGTGGAAGCTGGCACTGAGCTGCTCCCCGTGCCCTGCTCCAGTCTGTGCTTGTTTTCCTCTGCAGGCTGTTGTGGTCTGTATCAGGAACAAGGAGTTTGAAAAAGCTTCTGACATAGTCAAGAAGCACTTTGGCAAGGAGCCCAGAAACCAAGTGAGTCCGTGCTGGAGCGAAGTGGGAGCTGCTGGTGTGTGCACGGGGAGTCTGATGTGCCCTGGGAGGGCTGGGGTGGAGGCCACAATGGAAGCAATCCTTCTGGAGTGCTGCATGTTTGGGTTGTCCCCTTGGAGCCTCCTCTGTCCCCCACCCTTCCTCACATCCCTTGACAGCCCTTCCAGGCACCACCATTTATCCCTTGGTGGGCCCCAGCTCAGCTTCTGAGCGGGGTCTGGGAGCAGCAGGAGTTCCCATTCCTGCTCTGCAGGGCACTGCAGCAAGGAGAACTCCTGAAATAAGGTGCTGCTGCTGCTCCTGGGTTGCTCTCCTGTTCCTTTTCCCAGCCTGACTTTGGTGTTCACTGGCTGTGCCTGGAGAACACCCAGCAGGAAGGGCCCAGTCCATGCCCACATCCTTGCTTGTCACTGCTTCCCTGTCCCTGCCCGGAGCGTTCTCACCCGGCCCTGTGCATCCCCTCTCCAGAAGAAGAGGAACGAGTGGCTGGCTGTCATCCGGGAGAAGAATCCCTCTCACCCAAAGGTCAAAAACTTCTCCTACGAGGACTTCCAGCAGAGCATCTTTGGCTTCCTCAAGGGCTACATGGACGACTCGGAGCCCGCGCTGCTGACGGTGCGTGTCTGCCCGCTGCCCGGGGCTGGAGCGCAGCAGGGAGAGCTGCCACGCTAATTCAGTCCATTCCCGTGGCCAAACGAGGTGCTCCAGCCCTGAAACGCCTGTGGGAGGGGTGAAATGCAATCTGCTCTGTAATGGTGCTGTGCTTTCTCTCTCTTCAAGTTATTGAAAAAGACTTTGGACTCGGAGCACACCGGCAAAGGGAAATCCTCGCTGGGGACTTCTGAGCTTGCAGATGGGCTGAACGACCAGGCAGCAGCTCCAGAGGCCTCGGGAAGGGCAGAGGGCCCAGCCGGAGCTCCAGAGGTCCCAGGAAGGGCAGAGGGCCCAGCCGGAGCTCCAGAGGTCCCAGGAAGGGCAGAGGGCCCAGCCGGAGCTCCAGAGCTTGCAGGAGCAACAGAAGACCTGGAGGGAGCTGCCAGCCCTGCAAAAAGACCAGCTAGTCCCACAGCAGCTCCAGAGATTACGGAAGAAGCCAGTGGCCCTGCAGCAGCTGTGGAATTTATGGAAGTAGTGACTGACCCAGCAGCAACGCCTGAACATCTAACAGCAGCATGTGATGTCCTGGAGGGCACACCAGAGCCTATGGACGTGGCCAAAGAACCAGCAGCAGCCCCAGAGCTCCCCAGGGTGCCCACCAGGGAATCACAAAGGTGGGCAGAGGGGTCTGTCTCTAGGTTGTGGACGGCCTAGTTAGCCTCCAGTTCTCTTCCAAGGGGCAATGTCTGTGTCCAGGCAGCCCCTAACTCCCCAAAAGCCAGCCCAGAGGCACGGCACAGGGCTCTGGGTGCTGGGAGAGGTGTTGGTTGAGGTCAGGAAGTGCTGCAGGGAGGGGCAGTGGGAATGGAGGAGGCAGTGGAGCAGGAGTCTCCATCCCTGCTGCCTGGGGCACTGCACTGAGCAGGAGGGAGGGCAGGGAACGCCCTCCTCCACGGATTTGTGCTGTAGGGAGCTGGGCTGCAGTGAGGGCGAGGCTGCACTTCGGGGCAGCAGAGCTCCCTCGGCAGTTTCCCTACAAGCCTCCTGGTTGTGTTTATTTTATAGGCAGCCCCCCGGAGCTGTAACCTCGTGTGGGATTTCTGTCCTGAGAGAAGCTTTCAAGATCCTGTCGGACTCCGGGGACCCGGACACCCTTTTCACCAAACTGGACGAAACAGACTTGCCTTGCCCCAAGCAACTGTCTCCTTCTGTATCCCACAGAACCAAGAGATGCAGAGAAGTGGAGAATCAAGCTTCTGAGACCTCACAACCTCCTGAAATGCCCCATAACATCAAAAACTTGTTCAGCATAAGCAATCTGATCATGGAGTTGGACAGCTCATCCAGCAAGTCCAGCGAGTGCCCCGACTCTTCCCAGGAGCACGTGGTCTCTTCTGCTTCCAAACCTGCTCCGAAATTGCCTGAGGAGCCCTTGGCTGCCCAGAGTGAGAAGTATGGAGCCCCTCTCGTGTGGTATTGTCTGCTCTGCCCCAGTCTTGTGTCGCTGATGTTGGCAGCCCGAGCACCAAACCCTCACCCTGTGTGCCAAGATGAGTGTTGGCCTTGCCCGCCAGCCCGTGTGGAACTGGGCACAGCAAACCCTCTCCTGTCCATATGTTTGGCTTTAAAACTAATTATGGGTTAATGAAGAGGAGAAAATGATCGGGTCCTGCTGGTAGGGAGGTGCTGCAGCTGGTCCTGGCAGGTGATTCCAGTACAAGGAACACATGTGTTGCTCTGATTTTTTAAAAGTGTTTTCTTTTGTCGTTCTTTTGAAAGTTTTAAAGTTCTCATAAAACTTCTTTAGCCTTCTAATAATGTTTACATATTTCTAGTGGAGTTGTCATGCACTGATCATGTAAATAATGATTGTTTTGCATTCTTTGTGGGAAGTTTTCTTTTTTTCTTTTTTTAATGGAAAAAGGGTGACCCACAAAGAAGAATGTAAAGCAATTATTATTATTTATATGAATAGTGTATGATAACTCTAATATGTAAATGTTATTAAAAAGCTAAAAGAGAACTTTAGAACTTTCAAAAGAACTATAAAAGAAAACACTTGTAAAATCAGAACAACACACGTTTTTCCACACTTCTCCCAGCTTCAACATCACTGGCTGTAGGAGCATCCTTCTCGTTTCCCACCTCTTAATAACTACAGTGTCCAGAGGCTGTCTCTGCTTGCTTGGTGGCCCCACACCTGCTCCCCAAAAAACCTCCTGAGGCAGCAGCCAAAGTGAGCCCTCACCTCATTTCAGGTCCTTCCAAGGACGGTGGAACAGCTCCTGTGGCACAGAGGAGAAGGACAGCTGGAGTGATGAGGACGAGCTCTTTGCAAATGCAGGTATGAGAATTCCCCTGGCAGGGACTCCCTGTGTAATCCTGGCATGGGGTCGCTCACAGGGGTCTTGCTGCTGCCTGGGTGACTGAAGTTTGACACCAGAAATCCTGTGGAAAGGCTGGGATAAAGGAATTAGGGTGTATTGCCTGTCACAGGGTGCTCTGACTGCAGAGCTCAGCAGTTAAGCCCAAGGCAGCTTCTCAGGGAGGTCTGTACCTCCCAAATTATGGGAAATGTAACTCTCTTCTTTTTTTTCCAGTTTCATTTGAGAAAAACAACCTCTCCAACATCTCCAACTCCAAGAAACAGGTAAGTGGAGCCTTAGGTGCTTCCAGCAGGCCCTGCAGTGGGGCAGTGTCCATGGTAAAAGAGGCTGGAGCCGTGCCCCTCCTGCCTGCAGGGCATTGGGAATGTGCCTCAGGTCCCTTTGATGGCTCAGAGCCAGGTCTGCCAAATTCCCCTCATGCTGGACAGGTTCTTGTTCAGATGAGGGACACACATCTGGCAGCTGTTAGCCAGGAACACGTTGGTGCCACCAGGAGCTCCCCTGGCCCCTAGGAAGGCAGCTCTGCACCACACCTGCAGTGCTGGGGCGTTGTGTGCAGCTGCCAGGACCTGTCTGCCTTTCTTTGTAGAAATGGACCATACAGGAGAGCGAGTGGATCAAGGAGGGGGTGAAGAAGTACGGAGAAGGGAAGTGGAAATCCATTTGCCTGAAGTACCCCTTCAGGAACCGCACGGCCGTGATGATCAAGGACCGCTGGCGGACCATGAAGAAACTGGGAATGCTCTGAACTTGGGAGCCACGGGACTTTCTGCGTGGTTTTTGGACCTGTTTGTTTTTTCGAAGCTGGACCAGAGTGCTGTCTGTGGCAGTGGGGAAGCCCCTCTGACACCAAAAGCGTGGCTGACAGGAGCCCAGGAGCCTTGAGCTCCAGCAGTACCTGCAGAGAGCAGCGTGCTGCACCTGGCAGGGCTGTGCAGCCTCTCAGCGGGAATTTAGACTGAGATTTCCTCATCCATCCGACCACTGCAGCCTCTGGAACGAACCCCAGCTGTCTGCTCTGCTCAGGGGTGGTCAGCAGGATGATCTCAGAGGTGACTGCTCTTTTGTGCTTTAGTTGTCTGTTCTCTGAATCACTTGGATCATCTGTTTGCCATCCCTCCCTTGTGGAGCAGGCAGCACTGAGTCCCAGCACTTCTGTGGGGAAGAGATCCAGGCAAGAGGATCTACTTGCTTTTTTTTTTCCCCATTCATTTCTGTTTTGTAAATGGCTAATCTGTGAGGAGAGATTGCTCCCTTCCAGCTCTGAGGCTTTAAAAAGCTAAAATTACTTTGTGTTTCAGTCCTTGGAACTATTTGTTTCTGTGCTAAAACTTAGTTCTGTCTTTGGTCATGTTTTCTTTGGACTTTTCCTGGTACTAACCTTGCTGTGTGTGAGCTCCAAGGCTGCCACATGTTCCTGCCTTCAAACGCCAAAGCTGGAACGGTCACTTGTAAAATAAAGTTCCTTTCTTGTTTAATATGAAGAGCTGTGAATGTGTGAATTTCTGCCCTGTGGGTGGACACGCAGCAGAGGGGGCACAGACTGCCCCAGGAATGTGGGGCTTTCCCTTCCCCTCTGGGAGTGCTGGGCGCTGCCCTGGAGGTACAGGAGTTTCTGGGTTAGGTCGGGGCGATACAGGGGCACTTTATAAATTTAGTTTCTAAGTTTCTTTTGGCTGCCATCCAGCGAAACCAGGGCTGGGAGAAGTTTTATGTAGGAACAGCTGCTTCCCCCTCTGTCCTTCAGCTGCAGGTGCTGCACTTTGCTGTCCCTTGTGCCCTGGCTGTGGCCAAGCGTTTTCCTCCTTCTGTAAATCCCTTCCCTGGAGCGCCCTGGGCAGCAGGAGCACAGGTCAGGGCTGTGGGCCAGTGAGAGGCCCCAGGAGCTGTGTCCCGTTCCTGCCCTGGCAGCACGGGCTGCGCGAGCTGCAGCTGCGCGCGGGAGCGCCTTGAGCCGGATCCTTCCGCAGGTTAATGATCACCCCGCGCCTCCTGCGCCCTGCCCCGCGTGGGGAGCGAGTGCTGGAGCCCAGGGGAGCAGGAGGATGCTGCTGCTGCTGCTCCTGGCTCTGCTGGGCCCCGCTGGCTGCCCCAGGACGGAGCACCTGAGTGGCTCCAGCCAGGAGCCGCCGTTCCGCGGCGCCGACCGCTACGACTTCGCCATCGTCATCCCTGGCGGCAGCGTGGAGTGCTTCTGGCAGTTCTCGCACCAGGGCGGCAACTTCTTCTTCAGCTACGAGGTGAGGGCTGGGGACGTGTCCTGGGACAGGCTGGGCTGGATCCAGCCCGTGCTGCTCCTGTGGCACTCGGCATCTTGGGGACTGCGCCTTTCTTAAGGCACTTCATGGAATTGTTTGGGTCGGAGGCATCCCACAGCTCATTTCCTTCCACCCCTGCCATGGCAGGGACACCTTCCCCTCTCCAGGTCGCTCCAAGCCCTGTCCAACCTGAGGGTTGACAACTGCAGGGATGGGGCAGCCACAGCTGCTCTGGGCACCCTGTGCCAGAGCCTCCCCACTGTCACAGGGAAGAATATCTTCCTAATACAACCAACCTCATCCCAATCCATCATCAATCCCATGGATTTTTTAAACCACCTGGTTTAAGCCCATGAAGTGGTGCTGGGAGCTCTGGCATTGTTGGAAGCTCTGCCCTTCAGTGCCTGGCCCGAGGCTGTGGCACAGCGTGTGCCTGAGCTCTGTCCCCACAGGGGAACTCCAGCCCTTTCATCTCTGTTTACACTGGGCTGGCTGAAGGAGAGCCGGGGCACAGCTGTGCCTGGCAGTGGCAGCTTTCCCCTGGCTGTGTGCTTGGCAGAGCAGCCCCACAGGAGCACATCCTCAGGGCATGGCACAGCCCCATCCTGGACACGACAGTGACCCACCAATTCCCCTCGGGTGTTCCCTGCTCCAGGTCCAGCGGGCGACGGGGATTGGCAACAGCAGGAACGTCCTGGTGACAGCGAGTGATCCCAATGGCTTCCAGCTTGGAGAGTCCCAGGACGTGCGAGGCCAGATCAACTTCCTCACCCAGGACACAGGCGAGCCCCAGCCCTGCAGCAGCTCAGAGCCCTGGCCAGGGGCAGGATGGGGCCTGAGCACTCAGGATGTCCCTGCCTGGGGCCCTTCCACCCAGGGACCAACAACCCCCTTCCCTCTGCAGGTTTCTACCAGCTCTGCCTGGACAACCAGCAAAACCACTTGGGCTTCATGCAGGTGTACCTCAACTTCGGTGTGTACTACGACGACTTCAGCATGGAGCACCAGCAGCCAGCAGAGAGGAAGGAGCTGAACGACACGCTGGAGGCAATTGGGGTGAGGCTGAGGGAGGCCACAGGGAGCCCCAGCAGAGCGGGGATGGGCACGTCCTGCCCAGGACACTGAGCGGGGCCTTTGCTCGGGCTGAGCTGCAGTGAGTGCTGCACTGAGCCCCAGGGGCAGCTCTGAGTGCAGCTCTGCCTCTCCTGCAGGTGAGCATCCAGAGGCTGCAGGTCCACATCTTCCACATCTGGCGCTTCTACAACTTTGCCCGGATGAGGAAAGGGGCCGACTCCTTCCTCCTGGAGTCCAACTACAACTACGTCAACGGGTGGTCGATGGCCCAGAGCTGTGTCATCGTCCTCTCCGGGCTGCTGCAGCTCTGCTTCCTCAAGCGCCTCTTCCACGGGCAAACCTCGGGCAGCCAGAAGTGCTAGGGCAGGGCAGGGACCCCCCTGCAGGGCATGGGGACCTGGCTGCCACCCTGTCCCACCACGGAGTAGGAGCAAAGGCTGGATTCCGCTTCCAGGAGGAGGCTGGAGAGCTCCCCCTGCTCCTGCCTCATCTCCAGCCCTGGCATCATCCAGGGAAAAGTCAAAGGCTGCACTGTCACCTGAATTCTGTGTGCTGTGCGGGTTTGTCACATCCCTACCCATTGTTAGTGTCTTAATGGGCCTTGTCTACCAGACTCCAAATAAAGGAACCCCTGGCAGAGTCCAGGCAATGCCTGCTGCCTTCCAGCCTCTGAGAGTAGAAAATGCTGGGCACTCCCTCCCTGAAACTCACCCTCAGACTCTGAGGCTCCCCCCAACCTCATCAATCCCCCCAGACACACCCCAGTGTGTCACATTGCCCACAGGAGGAGCGAGGACTCGCTCCCCCAGACCTCCACAGCAGACAAGAGGCACTGAGAAAAGGATCAGGCTTTATGTGACAGGGCTGGGGCCGGGGCACCTCCTCCCGCGCTGGCAGCAGCCCCCTGAGGGCTCTGGGGCTCTGAGCTGGCAGCTCCCCACGTCTCCATCCCACTCGGGGTGGGCTTCCCGCAGCCAGGGGAAGGACAGAGTCCGTTCCAGCCCGAACACTCACAGAGCACGAGGGTCCCCTGGGGTCCCTGAGGTCCCTTATGTCAGCGTCTCCTCGTTCCGCACGTACTCGCCGACGTCGGCCTGGTGGAACACCACGATGGCCAAGGGGTCGACCTTGCGGCACTCCTGCGTGGACTTGGCAGCCACCCCGAAGCCCTGGGGCATGGAGGGGAGGTGAGGGAGGGTCCCCCAGGCTCTGGTGTCCCCCCGCAGCCCTGGTGGGGGCCAGGCACTCACCAGCGGGACGTCGGCCATGGAATACACCACGACGCCCTGGTACTGCGCCGTGTTCTCCGTGATGCGGCCCAGCCCCGACTTCAGCACGTGGTTCCCGTAGAGGAAGGACTGCTCCGAGCCCGGCTTCACCCACACCTTGTACTGCGAGAGAGGGGCAGAGCCGTGAGGGACGGCACGGGGCTGGCACGGGGCCGTGGGGCTGGCACGGGGCTGGCACGGGGCCTGTCGGAATCTGTGGGTATTGGTGATTCTGAGGTTGTAGAAAGTCTCTTTTTTTCTGCCCCGTTGCCAAAGCAGAAGCCATAATTGGTCTGTGCTGTTTCAAGGCTGTTTATTCTGTTTATCTCTAACATGTTCTGCTGCCCTGCCGCAGCTCTGTCCTGCAGGGCAGCGTGTGGGGCTCTGCCCTCAGTGGGATGGTACAAACATTAAATACCACAAACTACCTGTGCTGGATTTACAATAACGTGCCAATATCTGTCACCTACGTTGGACAGTGTGTCCCCAGCCTGAACCAACAGAAAAATGCCAACACCGCAGTGAAACATGGAGGGCATGAAGAAGGAGAAAAAGGACAAGACACACCCAATTTCCTCCATCTTGTCCCCTTTGAACCGCTAATCTAGAAACCTAAAATTTTACTTTTGCACCCGTGCCACACTTAATTATTGCTTATATCAAACACTCAGAGTGAGTAATTCATCCTGTAAGATTGAAAACTCTTTTCCATGGACAGAGATCACAGCCAGTGTCTCTGGGGGCTCTGTCCAGGGGGGTTCCTGACCCCTGCCAGGGCAGCCAGAGGGAAGCCCTGGGTTCCCACAGGGGCCGTGGGGCCGTGACCCACCTTGGCATAGGGCGCGAGGAAGTCCAGGGCGGTGACGCTGAGCCGGAACTTGTGGGACTTGGTGAACTTGCCGAAGCAGGAGCCCGGGGCCACCAGGCTGTCCCGGGGCACGCTGGCCGCCAGCTTCAGCAGCTTCTCACTGCGGCAGAGAAACGTACATTTAAGGAATTTAGAGATTTTAGTTAGAGATAAGCCTTAGTAGAGTTAATTGAAATAAATGAGTAGGCCTTGATGAAGTTAGGAGTTAGTAGTTAATTAATAATTGATTGTTTGTCAGCACAATGTTTAGTTAGCTGGGTTTATAATGAAGAATATAAACTGACAAAGAGCTTTTAGGAACATAAGACAATTGTGGGCTCCTCTGTTGTGAAACCAACTGAAGACAAGAATGGGAGTTCTACCAAGAGTTCATTTGTCACATTGGCATTGAAAAGGTAGAAAGGCCTGAAAGAGAAAGATTTCATTGACTTCCTCATTTTGGGACCCCTCCCCGTGAAAGGGACACTGACCCATTTCAAGGAACAAACCACACATGCTGAATGGCTTTTGAAATGAGGAATGGGATGTACCAAAATGATGAATATGCATTTGTATTTTGGGTATTCAACACTTGTATGGATAAAAGGGCTCTGTAATCACCTGGAGGCTGCGGTGTGGATTTGGGAGATCCCACACACAGTAAACACGCCCTTGCTAACTTTAAGCTGTTAGACAGTTTTTATCCGTCACAGCTGGATATCGGTACTGGATCAATATCCAGATTTCATTAATAAATCAGGAGCAGGGCCGCGCCGCCGCTCACCTGAGGTAGAAGACGCGGTCCCGGTGCAGGCGGAAGCAGTAGGTGCCATCGGGCCGGTCCACCAGCAGCTGGATGTTCTCCCCGATGCTGCGGGAACAGAGCCCGTCAGCCCGGCCCGTCCTGCCGCGGGACCTCCGGGGCTCCCGGTGCCCCGCCGTGCCGGGACACACCTCCCCTCGGTTCCCTCGGTCTCCCCGTTCCGCGCGATCCAGCCCGCCCGGTGCCCATCCCTCCCGGTACCCATCCCTCCCGGTACTCATCCCTCCCGGTACCCATCCCTCCCGGTGCCCATCCCTCCCGGTACCCATCCCTCCCGGTGCCCATCCCTCCCGGTGCCCATCCCTCCCGGTGCCCATCCCTCCCGGGGCCCATCCCTCCCGGGGCCCAATCTCTCCCGGCGCCCATCCCTCCCGGTACGCATCCCTCCCGGTGCCCATCCCTCCCGGTGCCCATCCCCCCCGGTGCCCATCCCTCCCGGTGCCCATCCCTCCCGGTACCCATCCCTCCCGGTGCCCGTGCCCGATCCCCGGCACCCCGCCGGTCCCTCACTATTTCCCGAGCTTCTCGAACACCGCGCGCGTCTCCGCCTCCGTCAGCGGCCGCATCTCCCGCGCCGCGCACGCGGGGCCGCCGCGGCCGGAAGTGACCGGGGCGGAACCGGCGGAAGCGGAAGTGACGGAGGCGGAACCGGCTGGCGCGGAGGTGACATGGCGGCGGCGGCGGAGGAGGCGCGGCTCCTGGCCTGGCTGCGCGGCCCCGCGGCGCCCGGCGGCCCCGAGCTCGCCGCTTACGTGTCGGAGCTGGCGGCGCTGGGGCTGGCGGAGCTGGGCCGGGAGCCGGCGCGGCTGGCGGCGGAGCGGGCGCGGGTCGGGGCCGAGACGCGCCGCCTCGCCTTCGAGCACTACCGAGCCTTCATCCGCTCCGCCGAGTGCACCGGCCGCGCCGGCCGCGGCTTCGGCGGCATCGAGAGCCGGCTGGGCAGGCTGCTGGAGCGGCTGCCCGCGCTGCAGGACGCCTGCCGGTGCGGGGCGGGCACCGGGAGCGGGTGGGGACGGGGCAGGACGGGCCGGGATGGGGCCGGTGGGGACGGCAGGGTCCCCGATCCGGCCGCTGCGGGCAGGGCTCTCCCGCTGATGCCGTCCCGCCCCGCAGCACCTTCATGCGCGATGCCGAGGCCATCGCCTGCAGCCGGCGCATGAACAGCCTGACGCTGAACCGGCACACCGAGATCCTGGAGATCCTGGAGATCCCGCAGCTCATGGACACCTGCGTCCGGAACGGCTACTACGAGGAGGCGCTGGAGCTGACAGCCTACGTGCGCCGGCTGGAGAGGAAGCACAGCAGCATCCCCGTTATCCAGGTGAGCCCTGCACTGCCTGTGCCCGTGACTGGGGTGAGCCCCGTGTTGTGCCACCCTGGGATCCAGGAGAGCCCTGTGCTGACCCCAACCCCTGACCCAGGTGACCCCTGCGCTGCCCCGTGCCTGTACCTGACTTGTTGCCCTGTTTTTTTAAAGTGTTTTCTTTTATAGTTCTTTTGAAAGTTTTAAAGTTCTCATAAAACTTCTTCAGCCTTCTGATAATGTTTACGTGTTTCTACTGGAGTTCTCACACGCTGTACATGTAAATAATGATTGTTTTGCATTCTTCTTTGGGGGAGGAGGGAGTTGATGGGCTGTTGGTTTGACCAGTGTGCTTGGAGAGGTGGAAATTCCACCCTCCAACCCACTGCCACTTTTGGAATTCTGTATATGCGAGGTCAGAAATAAAATTGTCTGTTTTTCTCTCTTGAACTCGGCGAGCTGTGCGCTCATTCCGTGTCCAGCGAGGACGCTGATTGCAGGCCGTGTGTTCCGCAGGGCATCGTGCAGGAGGTGCGCCAGTCCGCGCAGCTGATGCTGAGCCAGCTGATCCAGCAGCTGCGCACCAACATCCCGCTGCCCGCCTGCCTGCGCCTCATCGGCTTCCTGCGCCGCATGGACGTGCTCAGCGAGGCCGAGCTGCGCGTCAAGTTCCTGCAGGCGCGGGACGCCTGGCTGCGCTCCGTGCAGGCCTCCATCCCCGACCACGACCCCTACGTGCACCTCACCAAGACCATCGAGGCGTGCCGCGTGCACCTGTTCGACGTGCTCACGCAGTACCGCGCCATCTTCTCGGACGAGGAGCCGCTGGCCGAGGGGGCCATCTTCCACAGCTGGGTGCTGCAGAAGGTCTCCGAGTTCCTGCGTGTGCTGCGGCGCGACCTGGAGCGCGGCGTGGGCGGCCGGCTGGACTCGCTGCTGGGGCAGTGCATGTACTTCGGGCTGTCCTTCAGCAGGGTGGGCGTGGATTTCCGCGGGCAGCTGGCGCCCCTCTTCCAGCGCGTGGCCGCCGACGCCTTCGGGAGGGCGGTGGAGGAGGCGGTGGAGAAGTTCCGGGAGGAGATGAATTCCTACACGCTGATCTCGGCTCCGGCCGTGCTGGGGGGCACTGCGGCGGTGCCGGTGCCCGCGGCCCAGCCTGGCACACTGCAGCCCCCCATGGTGCTGCTGGACTTCCCGCCCCTTGCCTGCTTCCTCAATGGGCTCCTTGTTGCCTTCAATGACCTGCGGCTGTGCTGCCCCATCGCCCTGGCACAGGACGTCACCGCCTGCCTGGACGCTGCCCTCGCTGAGGTGAGCCCGGGGCATGGAGCTGGCACTTGTCCTGGGAGATCATGGGCCGGGTTCCTTCTGAGCGGGTTGGGAAAGCCTCTGAGATCATCCAGTCCAACCAACCCCCTGCACTGCCAAGTCACCCCTAAGCCGTGTCCTCAAGTGCCACATCCACACGGCTGTTAAATCTCCCCAGGGATGGGATTCCAGCAGAACCCTGTGCCAGGGCTGGACAGCTCTTTCCATGAAGAAATTTTCCTAATGTCCAGCTTAAACTTCCTGTGAACAACTCGAGGCTGTTTCTTCTTGTCCTGTTCTTTGGGAGCAGAGCCCAGCCCTACCCAGGGAGTAGTGGAGGGTGAGGAGGTCCCTCTCGAGCCTCCTTTTCTCCAGGCGAAGCCCCACCAACTGCTCGTTGTGCTTCAGCTCCTTCTCCAGCTCCGTTCCCTTCCCTGCACACACTCCAGTCCCACAGTGTGTGTCTCTGAGGTCCCAGAACTGACCTCAGGATTCAAGTGTGCCATCACCAATGCCCAGCACAGGAAGATGGGCACTGCTCTGGGCCTGTGGCCACACTGTTGCTGGTACAAGCCAAGTGCCACTGTCCTCCTTACCCACCTGGGCACATGGCGGTCACCAGGTGACCTGTCTGCCTCTCTCTCTGCCCAGGTGACCAAAACCATCCTGGCCTTCCACCGTGCTGAGGAGGCGGCTTTCAGCGGGCGGGAGCAGGAGCTCTTTACCCAGTTCTGCACAGCATTCCTGGAGGACCTGCTGCCCTACCTGAACTGCTGCCTCCAGGTGCTTTTCCCTCCAGCACAGATTGCACAGGCATTGGGTGAGTTCTCAGGGTTTGGTTTTCGTTGCAGGGGGAGGACACCCGTGGCTTCCCCCGGCACTGAGCGGGCCCTGTCCTGCTCTTGCCCCCTCCGCGGGGTCTCGTTGCCCACAGAGCCCCTCACCCCTCTCTCCGCTTCCCCAAGGTGTCCCCCCCACGCAGCTGCAGCGTTTCGGCCGCCTGGGCCGCATCGACGTGGCGGCTCTCAGGGAGCCGCTGGCTTTCCTCCTTCCGCCGGCACCGGGCGAGGAGGAGCCGCCACCGGAGACCGCCCCGGACGCGGAGAGGGAACCCGCGGCCGTGCCCACCGAGCCCCCAGAGGGTCCCTCCGGAGCTGCTGCGCTGCCGGGGGAGGGTGACCCGGTGGCCAGCGGGTAACCGGGTAACGGGGCCGGGGCCCGCCCGCGGCACCGGGGGAGCGGCCCGGGCCCCGCCGCACCGGGGCCGCCAGGGGGCGCTGCGGCGGCGCGGGTGCGCGCGCACCCGGTGCACCATGGCGGCGGCGGCGGCGGCGGGACGGGCCCTGCCGGGGCTCCCGGGACGGGCCCTGCCGGGGCTCCCGCGACGGGCCCTGCCGGGGCTCCCGCTGCTCCCGGCCCGTGCCTGCGGGCACACGGCGGGCTGGGACCGGCGGGAGCGCTCCTACTGGCGGGCGCTGCGGCGCCGGGTGCTGGGCCCGCCCGTGCCGCCGTTCGCCTCTCCGGTGCAGGTGGGAGCCCCGGTGCTGCGCGGCGCCGCCGCCGCCGTGTCCCCGGAGCAGCTGGGCGGCCCCGAGCTGCGGCGGCTGGCGGCGGCGCTGGCGGCCGGGCTGCGGGACCGGCCGTGCCTGGGGCTGAGCGCTCCGCAGCTCGGGGTGCCGCTCCGGGTTTTCGCCGCGGAGCTGCCGCCCGCCCGCTGCGCCCGGTACCCGCCGGCGCTGCGCCAAGCGCACCGCATCGAGCCCTTCCCGCTCCGCGTCCTCGTCAACCCCGCGCTCCGCATCCTCGACAGCCGCCTCGTCACCGGCCCCGAGGGCTGCGCCAGCATCCACGGCTTCTCCGCCTACGTCCCGCGGCACTGGGCCGTCCACGTCTCCGGTACGGACCGACCCGCCCTGTCCCGGGTGGGACCCTGCACCTGCCCCTCCCTCGCACGGTCCCCTTCTCCCGGGTCCCCCTCTCACACGGGTTCCTATTTTCCTATTTCCCCCCTTGATCACCCCCCAACCCACCGCTGCCCCGGCACAGGCGTGGACGAGCTCGGGGTGCCGGTGAGCTGGGAGGCGTCGGGCTGGGCCGCCCGGATCATCCAGCACGAGATGGACCACCTGGATGGGATCCTCTACATCGACCGCATGGAGCCGCGCACCTTCACCAACGTGGGCTGGATGGAGCTGCTGGACTGAGCCTGCTGAAAGAACTGGCGCAGCTCTGGGGCTCCGGCTCAGCTTTACTGCAGCCAACACAGACCTGTGGCCTCAGCGTGGCTCCAGCCCTTCCTGCTGGGCACAGGGAGGCAGCGGCGTCCTGCCCACCCTTCCTTGTGGGTCTGCCAACAACCTGCTGCCAGGGCTGTGCAGGGCAGGGGCGCAGGGGGGATCCTTCCCTCTGGGGCTTGTTTGGGGCTCACGGGCACAGCGTGGGCAGCAGCTGGGCACAGCACAGGGGGCACCGGGATGGGGCTGGGGGGCAGCAAGGCTGAGGGGAGCCCAGGGACTGCACAGGAGGACATGGGGTATGGGCAGGTGGGTGTCAGCTGGTGGCTGCTTCATCAGGTAGCCCTCTGTAGGCACAAATCCCTGTCTGGGAGGCTGGAGTGCGAGGAACCGCCTTGGGACAGGCAGAGGTCTTGGCTCTGGGTCATTGCATTTTGGGGGGTGGGGGGCTGGGCTGAGCCCCCTGGTGCGGGCAGAGCCTTGGGGAGTGGCTGGGCACCGGCTGAAGCACTCGGATTGTTTTTATTTTCATATAAACAAGACAGAACCCAAAGCAGCATTAAGTTAAAAAATAAAAAAAGAGCAGGAAGAAGAGTGGATTGCAGCCCGGGAGGGACCGGGCCGCCCAGGCCATGCTCAGACCCACCCCCCATAGTGTGACCCCCAGGCCGTGTCCCCGCAGTGCAATGGGGCGGGAGTGAGCGAACACCAGTCGGTTTGGCACGGCCAGGGAGGGGGGCACAGCGGGGCCTGCAGCTGCCCCAACCCCACACCCCCCATGCCCTCCTCAGCCTTCCTGTCCAAAGTCCTCCGTGAATTTCTTCACTTTGAGGAGATCCTCGGCGTTGACGGTGGGGCGGGTGGTGGCCAGCGAGCGCAGCATGTCTGACTGCAACACAGGCACGTGGGCACGTGGCTCAGACCAGGCAAGGGCACTGAGGCACCTTTGCCCCATGGCAGCAGCACTGACTGAGGTGGGAGCTGCCTGGCAGTCCCAAGCCCCTTTCCTGTTACCCAGCCCTCCTCCAGGGGTTAGACTGTGGGTTTGTGTCCACCCCCAGGAGCCACAGCCCTGCCACCCTCGGCCTGGAGGACGAGCAGGGAAGTGGCCAGGCCAAAGCCACGGATGGGACACTTACCATGCAGACAACGGGCTCCATCAGCTTGTCACTGGGCACCTCCATCCAGGTCATCTCGGTGGCCCCAGCGTCACCGGGCGAGCACGGCGTCAGGAGATCATCCACGAGGGCACCGGGGGTGGTGCGGGAGGGCCCACGGACCTGCACAGAGCCGGTGGCACATGGCACAGCGCTCGGGCTGGGGCACAGCAGGCACAGTGCCCACCCCTCCCCGGGACCGCCCCGGGCCCTGCAGCCCCCACTCACCCTCTTGAAGTGTGTGGCCGACTGCACCTTGCGCACGGGCTGCATCAGGGCGTCCCGCACGATGATGCTGATGTCGGCCCCCGAGTAGCCGTCGGTCTTGCGGGCGAGCTCCTGGATGTTGGCGTCCGTCAGCGAGTGCGGGGTGTTCCCCAGGTGCAGCCGGAACATCTGGGCCCGCGCCGCCTCCTCGGGCAGGGGGATGTAGATCCTCTTCTCGAACCTGGGGGCACGAGGGGTGAGCCCCAACTCCAGCCCTGCTGGGGAGCTGGCACGGGGGGCTGCACGTGGGGCTGCACGTGGGGCTCACCTTCTCCTGATGGCCGAGTCCAGCACCCAGGGGATGTTGGTGGCACCCAGCACCAGGATCCCGTCGCTGCTGTTTCCCACACCTGCGGGCACATGGCTCGGGACAATCTCCAGGGGTTCTCTGAATCCCCAGGTTCCGCCTGCCTCGTCCTGCTCCCACCCATCCCCGGGACGGGCCCCCACCCACCCTGCATCTGCACCAGGAACTCGGTCTTGATGCGCCGGGCCGCCTCGCTCTCGTTCTCGTTGCGGGAGCCACACAGCGAGTCCACCTCATCGATGAAGATGATGGAGGGCTTGTGCTGCCTCGCCAGCTCAAACAGGTTCTTCACCAGCCTGGGAACAAAGCAGGGGATGGGGTCCCTGCTCAGAGACCCTCCTCAGCAGCACCACGGCAGCCCCGCGTTCCTCCCATCCTGAGGAGCCCACGCTGGCAACAAGGCAAGTGCCACACCAGGGGCTGTGCGGCCCCCTGGGACCCTGCTGGGGATTAAAGTAAGTCTAATTATAGGATACAGAAATTAATCGTGTGGAGTTAAGTTTAATTATGATTTGCTCACAGCTTGGCAGGGGTGAGCTCTCCTCAAAGCTCACTGCAAGTGAGCTGTAAATGAATTCTGAGCATGGCCAGATGGGAAACTTTCAGGTAAGAGCTGCAACTCTGGAGGGCCCCAAAGCTGCCCCAAGATGGAGCATGAGAGCAGTCAATTAAGCCAAGGAGACAGAGTCCAGTTAAGTATTAGAAGACCCCAGTTTAAAGTCGCTGTTGGATTGAGAGGTCTGAAACGATGAGGGGGCACAGGCTGTGAGGGAAGAGGCCCAGGGATTGCTTTTCTCAGACTCCCTCTCTGAAGGCACCAACTCGCAGTTCTTTAACAGCCCCATTATTGGGGTTCCCTGATGCTGGTGGCTCCTGCCCCAGCCCACAGCCTGGCCAGGGCTCCAGGAGCCCGACTGTGGCCGTGTCCCCGCTGCCAACTCACTTCTCACTCTCCCCCAGCCACTTCGATGTCAGGTCAGAGGATGACACAGAGAAGAAGGTGGAGTTGTTGGCCTCGGTGGCCACGGCCTTGGCCAGGTAGGACTTGCCAGTGCCAGGTGGCCCAAAGAGCAGGATCCCGCGCCAGGGCGTGCGCTTCCCTGCGGCAGAGACCGGGGTCAGGCCTGCCCATCCCTGTGCCCAGACCCGTGCTGGGATCACCCACGGAGGGGTCACCTCCTGCACAGCCCCTTCCCACTGCTGTGGCCTCACCTGTGAACAGGTGTGGGAACTTGATGGGCAGGATCACGGCCTCCTTCAGGGCTTCCTTGGCTCCCTCCAGCCCGGCCACGTCGCTCCACCGCACGTTGGGCTTCTCCATCACGATGGCACCTGTGAGGGTGTGACTCTGCTCACACGGCCCCACAGAGATGGGCACAGAGAGCAGTGAGAGCCAGAGTCCCTACCCACACCCCCAGCAGCTGTTTGGGGTGAGCAGCCCACAGGAACGGGCCCCAGTCCCACAGCCTGTCCCCCTCCCCACAGCCAGCCCTTGACAGGGCTGTCAGAGAATCCCTCCTAACCCCAGAGGTCGAGCCCACCACAGCCTCTCTCACCCATCAGCTGCTCCTGCAGCTTCTTCTTCTCAGGGTTCTCGCCCTCGCTGTCACTGTCACTCCTGGGGACAGGGGATAGGGCTCAGGAGCGGGACTGGCACCGGTGTGGCAAGGGGGGTCCTGCCAGCTCCGTGCCAGCCAGGGGATCCCTCGCCCCCCGTCCCCCACGCACCCCTTGTTGTCATTCTGCGCCTCTCTGACGGGCCTCTTGCCGTGCCTGTCCTTGCTCCGCAGGTACTCCTTCAGCTTCTCCGCCCGGTCCAGGTACTGCATGCACTTGGCTCGGATGCTCGCCTTGGCCTTGTCGTTGTGAGCCTCATCTGCAGGGACCCGCAGGCGTCACCGGGAGCCCCCGGGCGCCGGACCCCCGCGCCCCCCGCCCGGTCTCACATTTGATGGCGTGCAGGAAGTACTCCACGGCGTGCTGGTACAGCCGCAGGGCCTCCTCGTAGTTCTTGGCCCTGTCCTCCTCGGTGGCTTTGGTGACCAGGTCGATGGCTTTCTGCGGGGGGGAACGCCGTGAGCACCGGGCACCGAGCACCGGGCACCGGGCACCGGGCGGGCCCCTCCCCACCGCCGGCTGGGCCGGGCCGCTCGCACGGCGGGTCCTGCGCTGCGCCCGGCTCCCCGCCCACCGCGCCAGCACCGGGGCTCAGCCCGGCTGGGCGCCCTCAGCGGGCCCCGCACCGGGGCCGGGTGAGGCCTCTCCCAGGCCGGCGCGGCGCCGGGGCCCGGTGAGGCCTGTCCGCCGGGCCGAGCGGAGGCCCGCAGGCAGGGGGCGCGGTGCCGGCGCGGCCGGAGCCCCAGAGCCCCGTGGCGGTGCCCGCGGTCGGTACCTGCAGGGTGGACGTTGTCATCGCATCGCCCGGTGCGGCCGCTCCGGCGGCCCCGGGACGGCGGCGGCGGCGGCGGCGGCGACTGCGGCTGCGCGGGGCCGCGCGCCCCCTGCCGGCCGCGCCGCAGCGTGCGCCGGGGAGCCCCGCCCACAAATCATAATATATTCATGACTTTTGTGGGCGTGGTTTCGGCGGACACGCCCATTTATCGTCAGTGCGTTATGGGCGTGGTTTCACCTAGCCCCGCCCACAAATCCCCGCCCCGCGGGCGCGGAGTGCGCGGGAAGTTCCCCAAAAACTCCGGAACATCCCCAAAAACTCGGGAACGTCCCCAAAAACTCGGGAACACCCCCAAAAACTCGGGAACATCCCCAAAAACTCGGGAACACCCCCAAAAACTCGGGAACGTCCCCAAAAACTCGGGAACATCCCCAAAAACTCGGGAACGTCCCCAAAAACTCGGGAACGTCCCCAAAAACTCGGGAACATCCCCAAAAACTCGGGAACGGGCGTGGGGGTGTCTGTGTGCTTGTGTGGGTTTGGGTGCGTTTGTGTTCACCAGTGTGTGTGTTCACGAGTGTTCACGTGTGTCTGTGTGTGTGTTTGGGGGTGTGTGTGTGTGTTTGTGTGGGTTTGGCTGTGTTTGGGTGAGTTTGTGTGAGTTTGTGAGTTTATGAGTGTCTGTGTGTGTCTGGGTTTGTGTGAATGTTCATATGTTTGTGTGTGTGTGTGTCTGTGTATGTGTGTGTTCATGAGTGTTTTTGTGGGTTTGAGTGTGTTCACGAGTGTTCACGTGTGTCTGTGTGTGTTTGTGTGTGTGTTCGTATGCCTGTGTCTGTATTTAGATGTTCGTGTGTGTGTATTCGTGAGTGTTCAGATGTGGTTGTGCATGTGTTCGTGTGTCTGTGTGTATTTATGCGTTCACATGTCTGTTTGCATTTACGTGTTCATGTGTGTTTGTGTGTGTGTTCTTGTCTGTATGTGTACTTACATGTTCACGTGTCTGTTTACCTGTTCACGTCTGTGTGTTCACGTGTCTGTGTGTGTTTACATGTGTGTGTGTGCGTGCCCAGGCACACAGCCCTGTGTGTATGGTATGTGCACACACGCTGTGCACACGTGTGCGGTATTTCCCTGCGTACACACACACACACACACTCAAACATCTGTACCCACAGCTCAGCTGGCCCTGCTGCCCCTGCTCCAAAAGGTGCCCCAGCCCCCGAAGAAATCCCCACAGAGACCGTGCCCCAGCTTCCCCAGAGACCCCCCACTCCTTCCAGAGCCCCCAACCCCTCCATCACCCCCAGACTCCCCCAATCTCCCCAGAGCCCCCAACCCCTCCATCACCCCCAGACTCCCCCAATCTCCCCAAAGATCCCCCACTCCTTCCAGACACCCTCGCTCCTCCCACCATCCCCACCCCAGACTCAAAATGAGACCCGGAGCCCCTGGAAAAGGCAATCTGATATAAATAGCGATTTACAAAGAATACAAAAATAGAAGGATGGGGGGCAGCACCCCGAGCCAGCACCCACAGGACCCCACAGCACCCCCGGCCAGCACAGCCCCCCGAAGCAGAGAACCGTGCAGCATTTGCCGGGGGTAGGGGGTCCCTGGAGGTACCGGTGGTCCTACCCGGGCCCCCCAGCCCCCAGGGTGTGGGAGCTGCTCCCAGGGGGAGGGAAAGTACAAAAAGCGAAAAGTGCATCAATCTACATGTCCTGCCCCGGGCCCCGGAGGGTCCCTGCAGCCCCGGGCACAGACACGGCGTTTGTTCAGCCTTTGGGAGGTTTGGGGGTCACTGCTGGGGGGCAGTGGGGCATGGCGGGGGGAGGCCAAGCCCCAGGGAGCAGGACCCTGGGCCAGAACACCCCTCTGCACCCCTGAGTGCCCCCTGTAAGACAAATGTGTCCCCCCACCCTGAGCAGGGCGTGGAGACCCTGTCATGCAGCAATTGGGGGGTCCCACAGCCTCAGCCCTGCCCCATGTGGGAACAATGTGACCTCTCTGGAGGAAGCCCCAAGGCAGGGGGACCCTGACTCCCCTGGACGTGAGCTGGGGGCACCAGGGGTCCCCTGGGGGGGGCCCGAGCTGGCCCCGCTCCAAGGCACAGGCGGTGAGATCGGCGATGGCTTCAGCCCCGGGGGGGAAAAGCTGGTGTGGGTACCCCGACCCCCGGGGGGGAAGAGCTGGTGTGGGTACCCCGACCCCCGGGGGGGAAGAGCTGGTGTGGGTACCCCGACCCCGGGGGGGTAGAGCTGGTGTGGGTACCCCGACCCCCGGGGGGGAAGAGCTGGTGTGGGTACCCCGACCCCGGGGGGGTAGAGCTGGTGTGGGTACCCCGACCCCCGGGGGGGAAAAGCTGGTGTGGGTACCCCGACCCCACGGGGGGGTAAAGCTGGTGTGGGTACCCCAACCCCCGGGCACGGGGGGCTGGCAGCGCTGGCGTGGGGCAGGAGGGGCTCCCCCCGCAGCCGTCCTGCCGCGCTCCCGGCGGGATCCAGGGCGGGATCCCAGTCCCAGCAAGGCACTGATGGGGCAGGAGAGGTTGGGGGGCCCTCTGTGACCCCCAGCTGGTTGGTGACAGGGCGAGGGCGCTGGGGCACCTATGCCAGCAGCCCCATGCGGGTGACTTTGGCCGAGAGGAAGGTGTGCAGGACGAAGACGATGGGCTTGGGGCAGGAGTGCAGGTCCAGCGCCTGGAGGGAGATGGAGGGTGGTGTCAGCCGCCCCCAATCCCACCGGGGACTGCAGGGCTGGGGGCTCCCATCGGCCAAACCCAGCGAGTCTGGGCAGCCGGGATGCTGCAGGGATGGGAAAGCAGGAGGAAGCAGGGGGTGCCCTGGAGGAAGACCCCCAAACCAGGGCTGAGCCTGGCTGCCCGCTCCTCACCAGCTCCCCCTCGGGGCCCCCGAAATCCAGGTAGAGGGTCCTGATGCCGTCATCCGCAGACATCTTCAGCCGCTCGTAGGGGTAGCGGAAGAGCACGCTGGAGCCTGGCTGGTCCCGGGAGATGGTGAACCCGCCCTCGTAGTGGATGGAGAGCTGCACCTCCTGCCCGCCCAGCGTGCAGCCTGCGGGCACAGCTCCGTCAGTCCCGAGGGGGCCCGGGGGCAGCCGGGGGCACGGGGGCAGCCGGGGGCCTGGCACCGCAGCACTCACCCACGGTCACCTCCTGGACCAGCTCGGCGGCGGCGTGGCAGCCCTGCACCAGGACGCGCGTCCACGCCGACAGGTCGCGGTGGGTCTCCACGCGGAAGACGTGCATCTCCACACCCTGGCGAGAGCCCGTGCGCGTGGCGAACGTCAGCTCCGAGCCCAGCGCGGGCGAGCGGCGCCCGGAGCCGGAGTGCACCAGCCTGGAGGGAAGCACAGGGCTGGGGTCAGCGGTGCCACTGCCACGTCACCCCGTTGGTGTTTTGGGGTTGGATCCCCGCTCTGAGGCACAGCCACGGCCCCAGGGGCCCAGCCCCGCTCACCTGGTGGCCACCAGCGGGTAGCTGTGGCAGGGCGAGGCCCAGGCGTCCCTGGTCCAGGGCATCCCGTCGTACAGCAGCAGGTCCTTCTCCGTCACCGCCATCAGCACCGGCCGCCACTGCTGCCGCCCGCCGTCCAGGCGTGCCTGCCAGGCACCGGGGCACCGTGAGGGGTGCCAGGGGCCGCCACAGCCCGGCGACCCACCCCTGAGCCCACGCTCACACCGACCCCGACCCAGGGGTTCCCCATGGCTGGGCAGCACTGGGAAACCAAGCTGGGAGCAGCCCCCCCCGGGGTCCTGCTCACCACACTGCCAGGCTGGCTGCAGCTCTCAGGCAGTGAATTCATGGAATAGGGGTGGTGTGATGAGGGCTTCCATCTGGAAAATCCCAGTGGGAGAAGGGGCTGAGGGCATGGGAAACGCTGCCATCAGCGGGGCACGGCTGGATGGGAGAGCAGCAGAGCCAGAGCCCAGGCTGGGCTCTCTGGCTGCATCCTCAGCCCATCCCACTGGCACCGCTGTCCCCGGGAGCAGCCGGCACGTCCCGGCAGCGCGTACCTGCTCGGCCAGCCAGGCGATGTGCTTCACCTCCCGGCCCCCAGCCGGGGGGCTGCCGGCGCCCAGCGTGGCATTGAGCTCGGCCAGGACCTGGGGCAGCAGCGCGGCGATGTTGGCGTGCAGGGCACTGAACCAGGCGTGGGCCGTGGCCGTGTCCCGGCAGCGCAGCACCAGCGTGTTCCGGCTGTCCGGCGAGTGCAGCTCGATCAGCCTGCGAGGGGACGGGGACACGGCCCAGGCTGGGACATCAGGGAGCCCCTGCCTGGGCCCAGCACAGCAAACTGGCTGCACTGGTTTGGGGCTTGCGCTGTGCATCTCCACCTGCCAGGGCTTTTAGCCCTCATTTTAAGGCAGAGGGGCTGCCAGGCGCCTGGAGGGAGCACTGCATAGCCCTGGCCAAACCCTCTGCAGTGTCCTCGCACAGCTCAGAGGGCGAAGCAGGGGTCATGGCTGCAGTGAGGGGCAGCCCAGCTGTGCCCGGGGTGTCCATGGGGTGCGGGGTCCCTCACACTGGCACTGGTGGATAGACCTAGTCCTACCCTGGGGGTCTTTGGGGAGCAGGGTCTCCCCCATCGGGACCCAGCAGCAGCCCCTGCCCTCACCTGTTCTCCAGGTCAGGCATGCTGAGGTTCCGGGCAGCGAAGCACATCTTGAGGGGGATCACCTTGCGGTCACGGGGGCCCTGGTGCTGGGGGGACCCCGAGTCCTCACTGCCACTCAGGCTGGGGGACTGCGGGGCCGCCCCCTCCCACGGCAGGTCTGACACCAGCGATGGCTTCTTGATGTAGGGGGTCACCTCCCGCATGAACTTCACTGGGGGGAACGGGGGCACAGTCAGGCCTGGGGAGGGTCCTGCACCCCACACCACAGCCCTGTGCCCCAGGGTTGATCTGACAGGGCAGCGTGACCCTCACACAACAAGGCTTGGAGGGTCCTGGGGGGGTCCCACCCTGTCCGGGTCAGAGATGTCCCGAGTGAAGGACGGTGCTGGCAGCTCATCCCGCTGCCGGCGCGGGTGTAGGAAGGGGAAGGCGCCACAGGACAATGGTGCTGGGCAGGAGGTCAGGCTGCAGCCCATCCTGGTCCCATCCTGCCCCGCTGCTGCTGGAGCAGCCGGGACTGTGCCCGCCAAGTTTCCAGCGATGCTGGGCCGGAGCGCCGCGGGGCGAGGAGGGTGGGCAGCCAACACATCCCGGCTCCTCGCGCCTCTCCAGGCCGGGAAGGAAGGAAGGAGGCACCAGCTCCTGCTCCCCCCGGACCGTCCCACCCCGCTGACAGCAGCCCTGGACCCCCGCCCGGACACGGCTCTCGGCCGCCCCGCCAAGCCCGGCAGCCAAGGCCAAGGGAGGGACGCGCTGGGGACGGAGATGGGGCAGCGAGAGGGAAAACCAAAGCAAAGCGGCAAATGGGCTGTAGTGCTCTGGGAAGCAAGCGCTGAAAGGATCCTGGAGCCGGCACAACGCCACAGCCAGGCCCTCTGCAGGGGGAGCGGCACTGCCGTGGGGCCCAGGCTGTGCCACTGCCAACCCTTCGCCGTGGGGCTGCCAGCAGGAAGGGGAGCAAGGATGGGGCGGCAGGGACGGGGAGTGGGCAGGAGACAGCAGCCCCCCGCTTCCCAGCGGCTCTGCTGAGCCACGAGGTGCCTGCCCTTGCTGTGGGCAGCACAGGAGTTAATATTAGCTGCCGCCGCCGCGCTGATCCCGGGATTACCGCCGGCCCCGCACCCCTAATCCCGCTGCCGGGCCGGGCAGCGCCGCGGGCAGCAGCTCCCGCCGCGGGGCCGCTCGGCAGATGTTTGCCAGATGTGGGCAGCTGCCGCCAGCACCGGCAGGGAGCTCAGCACGGGGGGCTCCAGCTCAGAGCGCTGCGAGCACTGAGCCCATGCAGTCAGGAGGGTGAGAGGCCAAGCTGGGCAGGCAGCAGCTCTGGAGCCAGGCCGCTGCCAGAGGAGCGCGGGTGCCCCGTGGTGACCGGGAACGGTGGATGATGCCCAGCACCGCGTCTGCCCACGGTGGGGACAGCAGAACGGGCTCCCAGTTTCCAGTGGGCAGCATCCATGGTGCAGGCAGGACACGGAGCACCTTGTGCCAGCAGGGACGTGGCCAGCACGGGGCTGGGGGCACCTGCAACCACCCGTTCTGCTTCTGGCGAGCCGGTGACCGGCACACAGCCGCACCACACGGCCGCTCTGCCCCGGCAGAGCCACGGGCACCCGGCAGAGCCACGGGCACCCGGCAGAGCCAGCGCCGCCCCACCCACGCGCTCACCGCAGAGGAAGCCCGGCTGCCGCCTGCGCCCCTCGCTGCCCCGCTGCAGGAAGGCAGCTGCTCCGGCTGCCACACCGGCCTCACCGGGCCGGGCCCCTGCGCCCCACGGCTCCCGAAGGGCTCCCTTCCCCCGGGGCAGCGGATGGGCCCGTGGGAGGCGCCTGGCGTGGGCCCCGAGGCCAAACCCAGCCCCAGGATGGGTGACACCAGCCCCACGGAGATGCCGGTGCGGGGCTGGTGGTTTCCTCTCCACCACTGGCACAGAGCCCAGCAGAAGCTCTGGCACCTGCCAGGGTGGTCACAGCTCCAGGGCTGTGAGGAGGGACCGGGCTGGATGGCACTGGATGGCCAGTGACCCCTACCAGCCCCTCTCCCAGCACAGCCATTGGGCCAGCAGTGCCCAGCACAGGAAAAGGGAAAAAAAGAAGAAAAAAAGAGGAAAGGGAAAGGGAAAGGGAAAGGGAAAGGGAAAGGGAAAGGGAAAGGGAAAGGGAAAGGGAAAGGGAAAGGGAAAGGGAAAGGGAAAGGAAAGGAAAGGAAAGGAAAGGAAAGGAAAGGAAAGGAAAGGAAAGGAAAGGAAAGGAAAGGAAAGGAAAGGAAAGGAAAGGAAAGGAAAGGAAAGGAAAGGAAAGGAAAGGAAAGGAAAGGAAAGGAAAGGAAAGGAAAGGAAAGGAAAGGAAAGGAAAGGAAAGGAAAGGAAAGGAAGAGGTGTCTGCCGTGGCGCCTGTGGCGGAAGCGGGGGACAAACACAGCCCAGAGCTGGAGCTGCTGCAGGACAGGATCAAACGGGAGGAAGGACGGGCAGTGGGAGGAAGGATGGGCAGCGGGAGGAAGGACGGGCAGCGGGAGGAAGGAAGCACGGGCTGAACCGTGTGTGGGGTCCCCTGGGGACTCTCGCTGTGCCCAAGGGCAACCACCACCACAGCACCAAGCCTGACACCACTGCTCTACCTCGGCCCCTGTGGTGCCCCAGCCGTTCCCCAGCACCTCGTGCCAGGTGTGCCCGCACTGGGGAGCCCAGCCGTGCCCTCTCATGCCACTGCAGCGTGCCAGGAGCTGGTGGCAAAGCGGCAGCACCCGTCCCTGTGCCCTGTGCCCAGCAGGCACCCCGTCCCTGGAGCAGGCTCGTGCAGCGGAGGACACACGGACGTGCCAGGACAGCAGGACAGCGCGTGTGGCACCACAGCACTGTATGACAGCCCTCCCTGACGGCACAGGGTGGCCTCGCGGTGCCCCGTGGCACACCGTGCCGCGCCGCCGGGCCGGGCAGGTCCTGCCCGAGCTTGTCGGGCTGCCGGGAACAGGTCGGGCAGGAGCCGGTGGCTCCGTGGGCCAGTCCCGTGCCAGCTGTGCTGTGGGCACGGGGCCCGCGGGGACACGGGCAGACCCTGGACCAACACCCGGTGTCACGGCCCTCCCTGCGGACCGTCAGCCAGCCTGGGGTTGGCAGGGATGGGGACAACCTGCTCAGGGGGACGCCCCAGCCAGGGGACCCCAAGGCTGCCCTGGGGGATCCCAGGTGTGGCTCTGGGGGACCCCAGCCTGTCCTGGAGGAGCACAATCAGAGAGGTATCCTGTCCCTGTGCCCGGCTCTGCGGGCTGCCATCCCGCCACACAGGGACACCCCGACCCGAGGGACACCCCAATCCTGTCCCCGTGCCCCCTGTCCCGCGGGCCCCCCGAGGCTCCGGGGATTTGGGGGGACGCACGAACACGGCAGGACCGGCGTGGGGGAGTGGCGTCCCACACCCGGAAAAGCGACCCAAAGCGGGTCCGGGAGCCCGGGGACAGCGGCAGGGGCTGTGCTGGGATCCGGTAACGGCGGGGGAGCACCGGGGCGGGGGACAGGACAGCACCGGGGGCCCGGACCGGGGATTCGGGGGGAGAGGAAGGGGCTGAGGCGTTACCTTCAAGGATGACCTCCCTCCCGGCTCTCTTCAGCGCCTGCACAGCTTGATCGTGGGTGGCATCGCGGAGATCGACGCCGTTAACAGCGAGGATGGCGTCGCCTAACCGGAGCGCTCCGCTCCTTTCCGCCGCCAGCCCCGGGAAGATCCGTGAGATCAGCACCGGCATCCGATTCTCTCGACCTCCCTTAATGCTGATCCCGAGCCCTCCCGCCTCCGCTTTCACCACCCGCACCCTCCTCACGCCACCGGGTGCCGCCGCCTCCGCGTTGCCGTTCACCACGCCGTTCACCACCGACGGATCGCCGGTTCCCGGTTCCGCCGTTAAGCTCAGCGTTTCGCCGGTCAGTTCGGCGGACACGCGGACCCAGCGGTCCCGCAGGAGCAGCTCCAGCAGCCCCGTTTTACAAGCCCGGGTCCACACGGCCATGCCGCCGCCGCCGCCGCCGCCGGTCACCGGGGAAGGGGCGTGGCCTGGTGGGAGGGGCGTGGCTTGAGGCCCCGCCCCCGCCCGCATGGCGCGCTGCGGTAGGCTCGGGGGCGCGAGAGGCCGGGGCAGGGCCGCCCCGCCCCCGCCTCCGATACCACCAATCAGAGAGCCGGCGGCTAAGCCTCCGCTGCTGCGATTGGTCGCGCTGAAGGGCGGGGCTCAGGCGGCCACGCCCCTCTCGCCATGTCTGGCGCTGGGATTTATTTGGCGCGCTGCGATTTATTTCGCGAGTCCTGCTTAAAACCTCCCGTGTCCTCCGCGATCCCCGATTTCTCTCCCTCCGTCCTGGGGAAAGACGCTTCCCTGCCCCACGCAACACCCACAGGCCCCCGTCCTTAGGGAATGAGGCTGCCCGGCCCCAGGCAGCACCCACAGACACACACAACTGATGCAGAGGGAGAATCCAACGCTGGGATTAGACACTGAGGGAAAAGCAATGGAATTTGAGGTGTCTCATCCCCGGGTGGAAGGATATGAAGATCATGTTGACATGATGGTGGTGCGACAACAGGGAGTCACGCACAACAAGGATGAGCCCTGAGCCCGGGCATGTACACAACAGTGAGGTTTTATTCCTACAGCACCTTAAGAAAATTCTTACAGTGCCCCAGGAAAGCAGCACAGAGACAGTTCCCAAGGTTGGAGTGGCTTCTTCTGCTCTCAGGTGCCAAATTTCTTCTGTTGGACAGGCTGAGGCAGCTGGGTTTTGAAGTCCATGATGGGTCGTTCCACCACAACCAGGCAGTTCTTGTCCAGCAGATCCATGAAGAGCAGTGGCTGCGAGGCCAGAGATGGGAATCATAGAAATAGAGAATGGTTTGGAGTAGAAGGGACCTTAAAGGATCTCATTCCACCCCCTGCCATGGGCAGGAACACCTTCCACTATCTCAGGTTGCTCCAAGCCCTGTCCAGGCTGGCCTTGGACACTGCCAGGGATCCAGGGGCAGCCACAGCTGCTCTGGGCACCTGTGCCAGGGCCTCCCCACCCTCCCAGGGAACAATTCCATCCCACTATCCCATCTAACCCTGCCCTCTGGCACTGGGAAGCCATTCCCCCTTGTCTTGTCCCTACCCTTGTTCAAAGTCCCTGCTCCCCAACACCACCACCCACCTGGAACTTCTTGCAGATCTTGAAGGCGTGGAGCTGCCGCTTCCTGGCCGTCTCGGGGAGCTGTTTCAGGGTGCTCTGGTTCATCAGGATGGCGCCGTCATCGGGCAGGGGCTGCGGGAGCGGCACAGCGCGGGTCAGGCTGCCCCCGGAGCGCCCGGGCACCCCCGGCCCTCCCGCCCGCTCACCAGGGACTTGTCGAGCACGCAGAGCAGGAAGGTGTCGTGGAGCAGGATGTGCGAGGCGTTCTTGGGGTTGAAGGTGATGTGAGTGATGGGCGAGTCCCGCTCCAGCCAGAGGCGGTGCAGCCCCCGGCTCTGCACGGCGCGGCTCCAGCCCGTGTACTGCTTCTCGGGGATGCTGAACTCGGACAGCTGCGGGGCAGCACGGCAGGGACACCTCAGGGGCTCCTGCCAGCAGCTCCTGCCAGGCCCCCGAGCCAGGCAGGGACACGGGCACGGGGATGGGAGCAGAGCCACCAGAGCTCGGCTAGCAGAGCTCCTACCTGCTGGTCCGAGTAGGCAATGACGAGGTTGTTGGTGGTGGGGTGGATGGCGAGGGCCGATACGGCGCAGTCGTAGCGCGGCACCACGCAGTGATGCTGCAGGAGGGGACAGTGCGCTGGTGGGACCCGCCACAGCCACCGCTGACAGCCCTGCCACACACCCACCCCCTTGCACAGCCTCCAGGACTGCCTCTGACCCCCTTTCCCACACACCCACCCCCTTGCACAGCCTCCAGGACTGCCCCTGACCCCCTTTCCCACACACCCACCCCCTTGCACAGCCTCCAGGACTGCCCCTGACCCCCTTTCCCACACTCCCACCCCCTTGCAGAGCCTTCCAGGGGTCCCATCCCGTGTCCCCTGAGGCTGGGGGTCCCTCCCAGGCCCACCTTGAAGCATTTCAGGTTGTAGATGTGGATGGCCCAGTCGCCGCTGACGGCTGCCAGCCAGCGCCCGTCCGCGCTCGGCGCCAGCAGGTAAACGGCCTCGGAGCAGCCTGCAGACAGCCTGGGGCTCAGAGGGGTGCTGGGAGCCCCAAACCCACAGACACCCAGCCCCACATCCCCCCTGACTGTCCAGTGCCAGGCCACGAGGGCACAGACACCCCCAGGAGGGGCTCACACACCCTCAGGGCAGGAAAGGGGGACAGCCCCGCTCTGTGCACCCACAGGGGAGGGGGATGCGGAGCCCAGGAACCCCCAGCCCACACCTGAGGGTGGCCGCAGCGTGTGCAGGTGCTTGCAGCCCCCCGGCTCCAGCAGCTGGAAGACGTGCACAGATCCTCGCGCGGAGGCCACGAAGAGGCTGTCGGAGCCGGCGGAGAACTGCAGCTGGTAGGCTGGAGGCAGCAGCTTGGGCACTTTGGGGACCTGGCAGCGGGGAGAACGCAGCCCTGGCAGCCGCCCCGCTGCCACCCAAACCCCCACGAGTGACGCTGGCCATGCCAGGCCCCACGGCCCCCCGCCCCTCTGACCTTGCTGAGGCTGACGCCGTCCCCGTCGCAGTGCACGCGGTACAGCTGGAAGCGGGAGGCCGTGGAGTAGCCCAGCCAGGTGCCGCAGGGTGAGACGCTGCTGCAGTAGATGTGCTCCGGGCCCTGGGAAGGCCACGGGACTGAGGGGGGCCCGAGGAACCCCCAGAGCCCAGCACACACCCCTCACCTGCCCCAGGGGCACCCTCAGCCCTACCTTGCTCTTGAGCTGCAGGAGGTGCTCGGGCATCCGGCACAAGGGAAGGACCTCGCCATCCTTTCCTGGCAAAGAAACCACACGGACGCCGGTGAGAGTGGGAAACCCACACGGGGCTCTCTGAGCAGCTGGGGATCCTGGGGGAGTGCCCAGACCCTTCCCTGCGGCCCAGGACAGCTCAACCCCCAAATCCCGCTGGCAGCCTGGGCTCTGCCAGGGAGCTGCACCTGTGACTCACCTGTCTCCTCAGTGGAGCCAAGTCTCCAGAGCTCCAGGTACTGGGAGAACTGGAAGAGGAGCAGCCGGGCTTTCCTGGCGCAGGAGACGAGGCGTCGCTGCGTGGAAAAATGGGCAGGGTGTCATGGACCCACAGCCTGGCACAATGGGCTGGGGCACAGCCGGAATGCCCTGGAGTGCTGCTGACTCCCCACGGGGGTGAGCAGGGAAATCAGGTCCCATGGGATGGGAGCCTGCAGATGGAGACCCAGCAGGACCAGCTTGGCAACTTCCACTGCTCCTTGGCAGAGCCTCCAGATGCACCAGCAAAGGAGACAAACAGGGCAGAGGAGGGAGCCAGGGTCAGGGAAGGAACCCTGGCAGGGCAATGAAGGCACCTGGAGGGGCAAGGAGATCCAGCCCTTCCAGCCCCACGACCCCAGTCAACGCATCACTCACGTGGGGGAAGATGAATTTTCGGAGCACCGCGTCGTAGTTCTTCTTCTGCATCTTCTCCATCAGCGGGCGGATCACCAGCTGGGCATCCAGGCCTGCAAGCCACGCACAGCTCAGCCACGCCGGCCCCGGGAGGGGAGATCCTGCCCGGTCCCGGTGCCAGCGGCAGTCCTACCCCCGGAGATGAGGGCGGTGGGGCTGTGCGCCACGGCCCGCACGTCGTGGCTGTGGAACTGGAACACCTTGGTCCGCACCCACTGCTTCTCCAGCCCGCCCAGCCTCACGGGCAGCAGCTGCAGCTGGAGGGTGGCCCCGGTGGAGGTGCCCACGACTATGCTGTCCTCTTTCTGCGGAGGGAAACGGGACGGGGCTGTGGGAGCAGGCTGGGAACAACAGGAGGGCACTGCCAGGAGGCATCACCTCCGCTCCCTGCCAGCCTGGGGGCACCTGGGGGGTGTCACCCACCTCTGACACGGCCAGCGAGAGCACGGCCGAGGTGCTGACGGCGCAGGACTCTGCCAGCGTGCCCTGCTGCCAGTCCCAGAACTGCACCCGCCCAAAGGAGTCGGCGCTGACCGCGGTGCCGCTGGACAGGAGGGCGATGGCCCACACCACGCACTCGCGCTTGGCCTTCTCCACGTGGTGGTTCACCATGATCCTCTGCACCGTCTGGCCTGGAGCGGGAGGAGGTTGGGGGTGGCAGGGGGATCCCCCAGGTCCCGGGGGATGGGATGGGGCTGCTCCCGGGACAGGAGGTACCTGAAGCGACGTCGATCACACGGAAGAAGTCGATGGAGCCAGCCACGATGTGAGTGTCCGAGGGGTGCCAGGACAGGCAGAGGACACGGCCTGGGCAGGGAGACAAGCTCCGTGGGCTCGCAGCCCCACGGTCACCGGGGTGCCCGGAGGGACGGCGCTGCACCGGGACTCACCTTTCCGCCTGTCCAGGTTCCGCTCAAACTGGATCCCCTCAGCAACGACTTGGAAGATCTTGACAGAGCCGTCCTCGCAGCCGATCTGTGGGGGCTGGGATCAGCACGGGACACGGCGGGACCCTGTCCCCCCCCCGGTGCCGCTCCCGGTGCCGGTCCCGGTGGACTCACCGCCAGCTGCGTGCCGGTGCCGTTGGCCACCATGCTCCAGACGGGTCCCCCGCCGCCGTCCACGCCGCGGCCCACGCTCAGCCCGGCCAGGTCGTACTCGGTGATGTCCCCGCCGAGCCCGGCCCCGAACAGCCGGGCCCCGGCCGCCCAGCACAGCGACTCCACCGACCGCGCCTCGTGCCCGGGAATCACCTGCGCGGGGACGGGTCACACCGGGGCACGGGCCGGTTACCGCCCGGTACGGCCACATAACGCCCGGTACAGCCTCGGTGCGGCTCGGTGCAGGCCCAGCAAGGCTCGGTACGGATCCGTAGGGACTAGTAAAGCCTGGTCGGTGCCGATCAGAACGACCAAGTACGCACGGTACCGGCTCGGTACGTGCCCGGTAAAGCCCAGTACGGCTCCGCACAGGCCCGGTACATCCCGGTACGGCCCGTGCCGGCGCTCTCACCTTCTCCTGGAAGTAGTTGGCGGCGAAGTTGTACACCTCGACGGTGCCGTCGGTGCGGGCCAGCGCCAGGCGGGTGCCGCGGGGCTGGTAGGCGATGCAGCGCACGCCCGCCGGTACCAGCCCGAAGAACCGCACCCGGTGCACCTGGAACTCGCCCATGGCGCTGTGCCGGCCCCGCCGCCGCTCCCGGTCCCGGTCCCGCTCCCACTCCGGTCCCGGTCCCGCTCCCGGTCCCGCTCCGCTCCCGCTCCCGCTCCGCCGCACGTGCGCGCGGCGCGCCGGAACCGGAGCTGCCCCGGGGCCGCGCGGGAGCGGAAGCGGAAGCGGCGGCGCGGCGGGAGATTCGTGCGGGGCCGGCGGCGGCGGGGCCGGGGCGAGCGCACGGTACGGGCCGGAGGGAGCCGGTCCCGAGAGCTCCGGCCGGGCTGCCCCGGGCCGGCCCCGCGGCACCGGCGGCCCGCGGGACCGGGCGGCGCGGGGCCCGGGCAGCGATCCCGGCCGGGGGCTGCGGTGGCCGGGGGGGGGCGGCAGGGCCCGTAGGGGCACGGGGGGCTGCGGGAGGGGACGGGTCGGGGCGGGTCGGGGCGCTGGGGGCTGGATCTGGGGGGGCAAGCAGCTGGGCTTGGGGATCGGGGGGCTGGGGACATTCTATAGGGTCTGAGGATCTGTGGGCCCAGAGCAGGGTCTGTGCGTGGGGGGCTCTGTGGGGCACGGGCAGAAGCTCCTCCTGGGGTCCCCAGAGGGGAAGGGCCAGGGGTTGCTGCCCCCCTGCCCGCTGCCCCCGCCCTGACCGTGTCTCTGCAGCCCCTGGCACGGCACGGCCCGGCCCGGCATGGTACAGATCGTCATCTCCAGGTGAGCCCCGCGGTTCGGTCCCCGTGCCCCCTGTGCCCTCTGGGGCCCGGGTGACACTCCCCATCTCTCCGCAGCGGCGGCGCGGGGGCCCTGGCACAGTGGGTGCTGCTGGAGCTGCAGGGCCAGGTGGAGCCCCGGCAGAGCGGGGAGCTGGCTGGGAGCCTGCTGGGAGACCTGCACTACACCTGCCAGGTGAGACCGGGCACCGCCGGGACCTGTGGGGATGGTACAGCACAGCCTCACCCTCCGCTCTCCCCAGGGCATCCCCATGCTCCAGCCCAACCTCACCCTCTGCTCTCCCCAGGGCGTCCCAGTGCTCGTGGTGGGTCACCACATCCTCTACGGGAAGGTGGTGCAGCTGGAGAAGCCGTTTGCTGTGCTGGTGAAGCAGGGAGGAGCCTCCCAGCCCAGCCCCGTGGGGCCCCATGGCCACTACACCGTCACTGCCCTCATCAAAACCAAGCTGCTCTTCAAAACCCGCCCCAAGCCCATCATCACCCATGTGCCCAAGAAGGTCTGAGGGGAAGGATGCGGGCTATGAACTGTGATCTGCTGCTGGAGAAAGCAGCAGGGACTTGGGGAGATCCAGGACCTCATCCCTGTCCTGCACAGAGGACTCTGGCACTGCTGGGTCCTGTCTGGGCACCCAGAGCCCTTCCTGGGTCACTTGTCCCCCCCAAAATTACTCTTTTCAGAGAGCAGCCAAGCTCTTGGCCACAGACCCTGTGGATCACTCCAGGAGATATGGCTCCTGGTAGGCAGAGACTCCTGTGAGCCTGGGCAGGGGTGTCCCACCCCGGGGCTGCCCACAGTGTCCAGCACGTCCCAGGGATCCATGGAGGTGCCAGTGTGGAGATGTCTCCTCCTACCCCGTCCCTGCAGCTGTAGGAACACCAGTGCCACGCGGGGACTCAGGACCAACCTCCCTCAAGTCGGGCAGGGGCTTCAGGGACCCTCCCCAAAACACACCATGTGTCCTCACTTCAAGTCTTTATTTCCACAACTCCGTCGGGATATAAAAAAACCAGCCTTTTCCACCCAAAATATGGAAAAAAATTCCCCTGGCAGGTTCAAAAATAAATAGATTTACAAACCATCTGCGATAATACCAAAGAGCTACAAAAGTCTTCTAAAAAATCTTGTATTAAATTAAACAAAAACCAGCTAAAAGCTCCGTCGTAGAAAGGGATTTTTATCCAAGTCCTGAAAAAAGGACCCACAGGTGAATTCCCTGGGGAGGGGAAAGTTGGGAAGCACCTTGCCTAAATCTTCCCACTGCTGGGAAGGTAGTGGGGTGGGAGTGATGGGGCCATGGGTTGGCCAGAGCATGACATGGCCCCACGGGGTCTCCAGCAACGCTCCGGCCAGCACACAGCTCCCCAGTTTTCCCAGTCTCTCCATGCCAGGATCCCCCCTTGGCTCTTTGGCAAAGCTGAAGGAACCCGCTGCCCTCCTGGAGCAGCCAGACCCCCCGACAGGCCTGGGGGGGCTGCCCGTGGGTACGTGCCCGCACGCAGCCGTGGGGCAGAGGCAGCACCAGCCAGCAGTGCCAGTACCGTGCCGACGGAGTCTGTGTGTCCTGGGGGTGGGAAGTGCTGTAGCACCACGGAGGTGGGACTGAAATCCCTGTAAAAAGCACCGAAGGGTGGAAAATTGTGGAGTGGGGTGTGGGGAGCGCGGCCAGCAGCGCTCCACACCAGGATGCTCCATAGGGCACAGCTGGGATGTAGCTGGCAGCACCTGGTTGGGTGGTGGGCAGCCCTGGCTCAGCTTCTCTGTGGCCAGCTTGGGATGGAAAAATGAAAATATAGGAAAAGTTTACATCTTAATAAAGAAAAAAAGCAAGATTTCAAGATCTGATGAGAAATGCCAAGGGTTGGGAGCGCTCAGCGCTGCCCAGCAGCTCCGGGATTGGGAAAAAGGGGACTGGGGGTGTTCACTCCAGCATGTGGGATCACCCCAGCACCTGGTGGTTCCAGGATGGGGAGGAGGGGACGGAGGGGATTACCCTGACACATCGATCGCCGTGGCACGTGGGATGACCCTGGCACGGGACCACCCCGTGGTCAGACCTCGGTGAAAACCAGCCCACACTGCTCCTGCCTCTTGCCGCAGCGGCGGGCAACGATGGCCAGGTAGAGGGTGAGCAGGGCCACCCAGTAGCACGCATAGAGGATGGCACCTGAGACGAGGAAGGCCACCTCGGTCTCGCTGAAGAGGTCCTGGCTGTAGGCGGTGTAGGCCAGCCCGCCCAGCAGCACCGCCACCCACACCGACACCGGCAGCAGCCCCACGAAGTTCACCACGATGGTGCGGCGCCCCGAGGTGCCCCAGCCCGACTTGTTGATGGTGGCAATGGCGAAGATTTTGGCGGGCAGCAGGCTGGACATGTAGAGGAGCGCATAGAGGGACATGAAGATCATCTCGGCATTGCCACGCAGGAAGCAGGCGTAGGTGGCCTTGATGACACCCACCAGCTGCACCGTCAGCAGGAACAGGAGGATGTTCCAGACACGGCCGCGGTAGAAGAGCTGGATGACGGTGGCGATGAGGAAGAAGGGGAAGAAGCCGGTGACCACCGACTCGTAGGTCATCCAGAGGTGATGCTTGTGGAACCAGAGCGCGTTGTAGAGCCACTCGCGGAAGTAGGACTTGCTCCAGCGGGTCTGCTGGTTGAGCCAGCGCAGGTACCGCGTGGGCGTCTCCGTCAGGCACTTGGAGCGAGCCGTGTACTTGGTGCGGTAGCCCAGGCTGAGCACGCGGTTGGTGAGGTGCCGGTCGTCCCCGAAGCTGCACTTGCTGCCCAGGAAGGTCTGGTGGTACCAGTCCTCGAGGAACTGCTGCAGCAGCGCGTTGCGGTACATGCCCAGGGGGCCGCTGATGCACTGCACGCAGCCGAAGTACGACTGGCACGCGCGCTCCACGTTGAAGGCCATCCAGTACCGCACGCTGCTCAGGAAGGAGAGCCACGAGTCGTACTTGTTCAGGATCTGGGGAGGGGATGGACGTGAGCCCCGGCAGTGCTGCAGCCCCCCGGGGCCCCCGGCCCTGCCCTCGCCTCGCCGCCCCGGGGTGCCCTCCCCCGTGCCAGGGTACCTGGACATCGCCGCCGACGCCGCCAACGTGGGGGTCGGCCTCCAGGATGCGGAGCATCTCGGCGGTGCAGGCGGGGTCCAGCACCGTGTCTGAGTCACACACCTGGGGGCAGAGGCAATGTCGAGCCCCGCTCCCGCCGCCCACGCGCGCCCGGCAGACAGCCCAGCCCACAGCCAGGCAAGCCTGAGCCACGGACGGCGAGACCAGGCAGAGCCCCGGAGACCGGCAGGCGATGGAGGGGAGCAGAGCACCCGGTGGGACTGGGGCACGGCTGCCCAGGACACGCATCTCCGGCTGCTGGCACTGAGGGAGGACGTGTCTCAGCCACCACACGTGGGGACCTCGCACCCCGTGCCACACTGCCCCACGGGATGGCACCGTGGCGGGCCACGTGCTGAGGAGGTGATGGGACACCCATGGGCAGCAGTCAACACCTCGGCCACCCCCGTGCCAGCGACCCCCAGCCCTGGTGGCTCTTGGCCAGCGCGTGGGGCCAGATCCGGCCCAAGGCACCCGGGTGCTCCTGGGGATTCCCGGGGCTGCTCCCGTTCCACCCACGGCCCCTCTGCCCAGGACGCTCACTGCCCATGTCCCCCAGCCCATGCACGCACCTGGATATAGTCAACGGAGTCTCCGAGCGCGCGGAAGGCCGTGTACATCACCTCCCGCTTCCCGCCCCACTTCTGGAGGATGCAGGAGTAGGTGTTGCTGCGGACCAGAGCCTGAACGCGGGCCAGCCCTTCCCGCAGCCCGGCCTCCGTCTCCCCCTCGCCCCACGCGTGGAAGTTGCTCCTCCAGACGTAGCTGCCAGAGTGCTCGGAGCCCATCACGTCGTGGAAGATGTCCAGCATGTAGGTGTCATCGGGGCCATTCCCGTCCACCACCATCACCACTTTGAGGTCAGGGAAGGCGATGCGCTTGACGGAGCGCAGGCACTTGGTCAGGTAGTCGGGATCCTCCTGGAAGGCGGCGATGCAGAGGGCCACCGAGCGCCCCGGCCGCACCGGCTGCCCCTCGCGCCGCATGCGCCGGTGCTCCAGGAAGGCGAAGAGGCTCTGGATGAAGAGGTGCAGCCCCAGGATGGCCCCGTAGAGCCCGAAGGAGAGGTAGTGCTTCTCCGTGTGGATGAACTGGTACCCTGTGACGTAGGCGGCCAGGATTCCCCCCAGCACCGCCACGGCGAAGAGGCTGGTCCCCACGACACGCAGGGCCGTGGAGAGGCTCCCTGGCATCTGCGGGGACATGGGGCACCGTCAGGGCAGGGGGACACCCTCCCCATGGGGTCACCCAGAACGCAAAAGCGGGGTGGTCCTGCTCCTCTGCTGCCCCACGGCCGCCCTGTCCCTCACCGGTCCCTGGTTTGGGAGTGACACCTTCCCAAAGCGTCCGCGGGGCCAGAGGAGGTGCGGGGGTCCCGCACACCCCGCTGTGGTGCCAGGTGAGGTGCGGGGGTCCCGCACACCCCGCTGTGGTGCCAGGTGAGGTGCGGGGGTCCCGAGTGCCCCACTGAGTACCGTGCCAGCACCCCCCATCCACCCGAGCAGGAGCGCGGCTGCTCGCAGGCGATGATGGCTGGAGGACAGGGAAGGGCACGGGGATGTCACACACCGGGGTGTCCCCGGGGAAATCGCGGCCGCCCGGAGTCCTCCTCCAGCGGAGCGGGTGCGGTGGGACCCCCGGGCGCGGGGACGGCCGCAGCCACACCCCCAGCCCGCAGCGGGACGGGACGGGCGGCGCGGGCAGGACGGGACTGCGGAGGCGCACCGGGACGCGGGCAGGGTGTGCGGGCAGCTCGGGGGTGCACGAGCACGTGCGGGGTGCGGAGCCAGCCCCGGGGACCCCCGGCGGCGCCTCCCGGGCAGCCCCCTCCGGCTTTCCCCCGGTCCCGCAGCCCCCGGCGCTCCCGGCTCCTCCCGGTCCCGCAGCCCCCGGCGCTCCCGGCTGCCCGTTACCCCCGGCCCCGCAGCCTCCGGCGCTGCCGGGTTCACGGCACCGCGGGGGCACCCCGAGCCGCCGCCAGCGGGCCGGGACGGAGAAGGAGGGACCGGGACTCACCGTGGAGGTGCCGGTGGTGGTGGTGGTGCCGCCGCTCCCCACCCGCCGCCGCCGCTGCGCGCCCGGCCCGGCCCGTGCGGCCCCTTTATACCGCGGCGGGGCCGGCACCGCCCGCAGCCCGCGGGGGCCCCGCCCGGCACCGGCACCGGCACCGCCGGCACCGCCCCCGGCACCAGCACCGGCACCGGTTCCAGCTCCGCCCGCAGCCCCCGGGACCCGCCCCGCACCGGCAGTACCTGGCACCGGCCCCAGCCCCGCACTGCGGGAGTGATGACCGGCACCGGCGGCACCGGCATCAGCAGCACCCGTGCTGCACCGGCACCGGCACCGGCACAGACATCATGGCACAGCTGCTGTACCGGCGGCACCGGCAGCGGCTCCGGTGCTGCACCGGCACCGGCATCAGGTGCGGGCAGGGCGCGGAGCCAGCCCAGGGACCCCCGGGACGCGCTCGGGGTGGAGGGAGGCACTGGGAAGGTGTCACCCCCAACCAGTGACCGGGGAGGGACAGGGACCGGCCACTCCATCCCCCCCAGCCCCACTCTTGGGACCCCTCTCATGACACCCACGTGTCACCTTCCTGTGCCACTGTGTCCCCGCGTGGCATAAGCCACCCGTGTCACCCTGTCCCTGTGGCTGGTGGGTGCCAGGACAGGACCAGGGTCATCCCGGGGACAGCAGCTAAAAGCTCCTGTCCCTGTCCTTGTCCCTGTGCGGCCTGATGGCAGGGGACACCCCGCTGGAGGGGCCATTCTGAGTCTGTAGGAGGCACAGGCTCGACTCGGGGCTCAAATTCAGCACTTCTGGGTTTCCCAGCCCAGCCGTCCCTGCTGTGCTGGGAGCTGGGTGCGAGGTAACGCTGGGATCGGGCTCCAAGCTCCAGGAGCTGGGCAAGGGGATCCCTGCAGCAGGAGCAGCCCGCGTGGGACGTGGCCAGGACTCCCAGCCCCGCAGGGAAGTGGGGGGCCGGACACCCCACATTTGGCAGGACACAGGGCAGCTGGGGGGCCCCAGCTGGGTCCCTGAGGACTCTGCTCCCCCCACGCTGTGGGTGTGCAGCAGCTCCCAGTGCAGGAACGGGGCCCATGGTGCTGCAGCACTCACGGTGACTGCCCTGCCCGCAGGGAGGAGGTGACTGATGTTGGGGTATCCCTGAGCACACAGTGGTAGTGCCAGCCAGGCACCCTGCAGGGTCTCTTAGCCCCTCCTCACCATGGAGGGGCTCTTGGTGCCACGGCAGAGGGGCCCCTCCTCAGATCCTGTGGTGAGGGAGCCCCTGGACTCCTCAGCATTGTTGTGGTGCGAGTACAGTGCCAAGGAGGGGCCACAAATTCCACTCTGGGGGTGCAGACAGGAGCCCCCCTCCCTCCTGACTCCCCTTGCAGACAGCCACACATTTGGTGCTGCCCAGCCAAAGGGAGCCTGAAGCACTGGCCCTGCCAGCTGCTTGCCCAGCTCAGGGCTCACCCTGGGGGTGATGCCACCCTTCCACAGGACACAGGGGCTGGGACAGGACCGTGGTGGTATCCACGAGCTTTGTGTGGCCCCACAGACATCACAGACACAGGGCTGAGCACGGCTCTGTTTAATGCCACACCTCGTCCCCGCGAGGTTCCCCTCCCACCCCCAGGTCATTCCCAGGGCTCAGCCCCGCTATGGCAGCACCACGATCTTCTTCTGCAGCGTCTGCGGGGGGAACAGGACCCTCCTCATGGCCGTGTCCAGCTCCTCCAGCGCCAGCTGTGCGTGCAGCACGGTGGCGGCGTCGGGCTCGGCCGCGGCCACGCGCTTCAGCAGGCGGTACAGGTCCCGCAGCACGTCCCGCAGCACCTGGCACGGCAGGAGGGCACAGCTGGCATCAGCACCGCTCCTTCCCCGGCACCAGCACCACCACCGCAGCCTCGGCCTCCGTGACTCAGTTTCCCCACATGCCAGCAGCACCTTGTGGTGATCCTTCATCCCAGGGCCAGCGGGGCATGCCGGGATCCCGGCTGTGGGGATTCCCGTGGGGAACTGGCTGTTTCCCCCGTGGGAGCTGAGTCCCAACACGCTTGTTAATGGGAACTGCGGAGGGAGGCCACAGTGGTGGGAAAACCGGGCATTTCCAAGTCAAATCAGCAATGAACAACTCCCTCAGCTCCCAAGAGCTGGCGCTGCCCCCAGCACGGCATGGCACTGTCCATGGCACAGCCCAGCAGCTCAGAGGGACACCCCCACAGAGCCCCCCTTCCCCAGGATTTGTTGAGGGAACCCTTTAGTGGGGGATGCCCACAATGGGCACCCCAGTCCCTGGGGACTTTCCCTGGAAGCCGCTTGGGAATGAGCCCTGCAGCCCCTACAAAGCACAGGCCCTCCCCGAGGTAAGGCCAGGAGCCCCTTGGGGACTGTCCCTGCCCCGGGACAAGCAGGGGCTGACCCACCTCAGTGACCTTCTCACTCAGCCCCCGCAGCAGCAGCACCACCACGTGCACAGCGGCTCTCCGCACTTCAGCCTCGGGGTCTGTCTGGGCTATGGCCGTCACACAGCAGGTGACCTGTGGGGACAGGGCAGGGGGCATCACCAGGGACCGAGAGATGCAGGGGGTCCCATCAGAGCAGCCACGGATGCGCTGGCAGTGTCCCACAACGAGGACAGGACCCTCATGCCCTGCTGGGTGCGGGCTCTGAGCAGCTCCCACCAGGGCCAGGCGGCACATGGAAGCCTCAGGAAGCTGTGTAAGAGTCTGTATGAAAATCAGGCAGAGCCAAAGGAATCCAATTAAATCCCGGCAGTGACAGCCGGGAGAATTAGCAGAGCTCACACCTTCCCGAAATAGCAGCGTGTGGCTCCCTGGCACCACATCAACTGCCGGGATCCACCGGTGCCAGCGGGAACTGAGGGGAGCAGCCCGGGGGTGTGGGGGTGTGAAGCTCTGCCTCCCTCGGGGCTCAGACCCATCGCCTCCAGGGCTGCTGGGCCCCTGGGAGTCGGGCTCGCCCCAACTGGGATCTCCCGGCAGCTCCTGAAGCTGCATCTCATCCCCAGCCTGCAGCTGGCAGGTGAGGGCCAGCTCCGTGATACTGATGATACCGATAATGGTAATTAAGATAACGGGAGAGTAACAAGCTGTCATTAAGCGGGAGGTGTCTCTGGCAGGCACCACTTGTGCCCCCAGGTCTCCTCTGTCAATGGCTGCCATGGGTGGAGCGGGTACCTAAAAATCAGGGCTAGAACCTCCCTCGTGTTTGCTTCAGGCCTCATGACTTTCATACTCCACAATATCAGCAATTATCACTCGTGTCCTTTATGGAAATGTCCCGTTTCCATATGGAAATGCCCCATTTCCATGTGCTAACAAATGCGCTCGTTAAGGAGAGGCCCTGCGCTCCCCAGGCAGGGTCAGGGGAGGATGGAACCGGTACCTCCTGGATGATGGAGCCCAGCTGGAAGCCGAGGTGCTGGCAGAGCTCGCCCAGGTTGGAGAGGCTGCTGGCCCTCAGGGCACCGTCGGGATCCCGGGCACCCCGCAGGAAGGCCCGGATCAGCTGCTCCCGGTGCTGGAACACCATGTCCCCTGCAAGGGGGAGCAGAGCTGTGTGTCACCTGGGAAAGGCCCACCCTTCCTGCCAAAGCCCTGGCTCCTCTGGGAACAGATGGGCTGGGATCTGCCTTGCAGCACCACCCAACAGCTGGATGCAACACCTGGAGCGTGGCTTGTGCCCCTCAGCACACACCCCATGGCACAGAACCTGGGGCTCTCTGCATCTTCCAGTCCTCCCATGGGGTTACTCACAGTCCTGCACACACACCAAGTGTGAATCTCAAATTCCAACACCATCCAGACCCAATCCCTGCCCCAATTAGCACGCAGAGGTGCTGTGGATGTGTGAGCTGCTAATGAGAGCTCACACCCGTGCTCAGCATCCACAACCATCCCGGGACCGTGGCCATCCCACAGGAGCTGAGCAGCTGCGTGCCCCACGGGGTGGACACACCTCCTACAGGCAGGGCTTGAGGGCTGGAAAGAACGCTCCAGAAGGCAGCTGGCCTGTGACTTCTATGTTTTTCCAGCTCTCTCAGGCTCTAGAAACTCCTTGGATAATGGTGTCCGGCAGCAGATGGAGGCAGTGGGGTGGATGCCTTGGGATGCCCCAGGGTGTGGAGACAGGAATGATCCTTGGGGGCAGTGGAAGCCCCCCACCACCCTGCACGTGGGGGCTCAGGGCTGGGGTCTGGCACAGGGTGGGGGAGCACAGGGCAGTGCTGGGATGCCAAGGACTTGCTGGGAATGTATCATGC